TATAAAAAATTTTTACATATAAAAAAGGCCCAAATATTTTTTAAAAATATTATTAATATGAGAATTATATTTTAAGAGGCCTAATTATTTATAAGAAAATGTATAAAAAGGCCCAAAATTTTTAAAATAACAATTTTTACTATAAAAACTCCGCAAAATTTTTAAAAATTAAGTAAATTTTCTCTTTGTATATAATAATAGGCCAAAAAAATTTTTTTTTGCTCTAAGGCTCTCAAATATGTTGAGCCGGGGCTGCAACTAAGCCACATTATATCATCTAATGTGAGTTACAAAGACTGACTAAAGTTTATTCTATATGTAGTAATGTGAGTTGCCCATGATAACACCCCCATTTCAAAGTTGTATTTGGGATCAATACAATATTACAAGGTGATCTGAACATATGCTCACTTAACACTTTAACAAAGTATAATACTACATGAATAAGACCCAGTTAACATTTCTCTTGGCGAATAAAAATATGCTCTAGTTTCGTTAATAGTGTGTACGATATTATATATGTTCACATAATCTGTTGAGGACTGAGGTCCGTTTTGCCAATTTTATTAAAGGTTAGTAATATTGTCATTGTTTCAATTAAACAAGATGCTGGAATAGCTCAGTTGGTTAGAGCGTGTGGCTGTTAACCACAAGGTCGGAGGTTCGACCCCTCCTTCTAGCGATTATTTTTTATTTTACTCGTCAGCCCATAGTTTGTTCTTCAATGGACTTCGTCGAGGCCCATGCCAACACTTTGTGTTGATTATTATCATTCCATTGGTTTAAAGTTTAGAGTTGTGATGATGAAATAAAAATGTGAGATGTTGTTGCTTTTTGTATGCAACAAAAAAAAGAGGCTAAATTTCCAGCTAAGAATGGCTTTACTCCCCAACGATTTGTTTCAGCTAAGAATGTTGGAGACGGGACCCGTAAACCAGTGGCGGGCACTGAAAAGCCAATATGAGAGGGTGATGGCCACCAAACCAGCCACTGCCACCGGAGTGTAGTTGAGTGTCTCCGCGGTTATGGGATATGCCACGGGCAAGGAGAAGAGGACTGATATGGTTACAACCCACATGACTGCCACCCATCCCACTACCATTCCGTACTTCCCCAGGCTGAATGGTCCAGGCACGAAGGTGTTGCGCGCAAGCGTCACTCTCAAAATAATCGGGATTGCGTATGCTATGTACAGTCCAATTGTTGCTATCGACACCATTGCTTGGAACGCCACTATGCTCCCCAGTGACTGCCAATTTCATCTCATCAAATCTAAAAGAAATCCCCAACACACACAGAGAGAGACACAGAAAGAGAGAGGGGGACTTACGGTGAGGGCCATACAAAATGATATGAGAGCAGAGAGCCAAACCGCATTAATGGGGACCTCTCTGCTGTTCACTTTGTGCCATAACGGGGACATTGGCATCGCTCCATCTCTCGAAAACGCATAAGCCATCCTGATTAACCAAATATACATGCATATGATCAAGTCCTAAATGCAGACAATGTTTTAACCAAACATGAATATATACCTGGAATTGCTGGTGACAGAGCTCATGCCGCAGAAAAACACAGCAACCGCAACAATGCCTAAGCACACGATTCCACCAGTACCGCTCCCAAACCTATTCTTGAAAGCTAAGTAGAAGATCTCAGCAATGGCGTACCCACCAGAGTTGTTGGTCTCACTCAGAAGAGAAGGTATGTCTGTGACCGCATAGCTTATGCCCAATATGTAACCCCATCCAAACAGAATTGATATCCCAATTGCACTGATTATTCCTCTTGGCCCGTTCTTGTCTGCGTCGACCGTCTCCTCAGTCTGCAATTTTACTTTTTGTTCAATCATCAAGAAAAGCTGATCAATCATTAAAAACAGAATCCATTTGTTTTGTACACTCACCATGTGGGCAGAGGCATCATACCCTGTAATGGTGTACTGGCTCATGAGGAGCCCCAAAACGAATATGTAAGCGTAGCTGGTGATGCCAAGGCCATTATCAGTGTTGAAATTGGTGAAGACAAACTTAGTGGTGGCCCTTTCCGTAGAAACCAAAGGAATCAGAATCATGAGCACCAAAACCCCTGAATATAATAATATAAGAGATGCTTGATGATTACTTGTGTTGTTGTGGAGACATGAAACACAGAGACAAAAGAGATTGGGTACCGAGGAGATTCCAGAGAGCAGCAAGCTGTCCAATGAAAGACAAGACGGAGATGGGGAGGCTGTTGAGAAGAGCATGGATGAAGAGGATCCCACCATGGATGCCAATCACAACAAAGTCTGATCCTTTATATCCGCCGCCGTTTCGACCGCCGGTGGAGAGAAGGACGATCACCTGAATCAGCTGTGCGAGAGAGAAGTCAACGCTGGCCGTCACTGCCCACTGCAAACACACCATTTAGCCCCCAAAGAGAGAGAGAGAGAGATATCTAATAAAAGTGAACAAGTCTGCTTGAAATTGAATGTTGGACCTGACCAACGATGTTGAACCTGAAAAAGAATTTGAAAATGAATCAGAGAGAGACGCTCTTGCTTCCATTTCCAAATCACAAATTCATGGAAAAAAGGTGTACCAGCCAGTCATCCAAGAGGCAAGAGGAGCCCAACGAGGGCCGGCGAGCATAGCACTCCAGTAGTAGAGACCGCCGGAGGTAGGGTAAGAGGAGCAGATCTCGGCCATCGATAAGCCAACACACATTGTGAAGGAGCCGGCCAGGAACCATCCGTAGACGAGAGTCACGGTGCCGCCAAACCTCAAGCCGGTGTTGTAGGTGGTGGTGATACCCGTGAGAACCGATATGATGGAGAAGGAGATGGCGAAATTGGAGAAGACCCTGAAATCTAACAATGTTTAGCTAACACAAATCGAAGAAGAATAAGAAAGATAAAAAGGAAAGAGCGGAGACAGACGAGAGATCGCGCTTGAGCTCTTGCTTGTAGCCGAGCTCCTTGAGGCGGACTTGGCCGGAATCCATGGCGGGAACATAGAAGGATTGATCGCCGCCCATAGTCCTCTCCTGGCCCTGGGAGTCCAAGCGAGCTCTCTCTCTCTCTCTCTGATTCAGATGAGATATTTATTTTTCGGGAAAAATGTCATTTAATCGTCCAACTTTAAAAAAATGGTCATTTTATACATGAACTTCATAGGAGGCCATTTTAAACATCAACTAAACGTTGACTGCCGTATTAAACATGAGACTGCGTTGACCTGGCCAATATAGACATAACGTTAAAACTCGATAACGGAACCACTAACAACCGTTATCAGCCGTTAGCTATTTTGTTAGTTAAATAGTCAACTTTCAAATTTAGGCCATTTTAAACATGAACTTTGTATGAGCTCATTTTAATCATCAACTAAACGTTGACCCGGCCAAAAAAGACATGACGTTAAAATCTGCTAACATAACCACTAACAACTGTTATCAATCATTAACGAACAACAAAACTAAAACAAACAAAAAAACATAATACAAAGAACCAAAACACAAACCAAACACCAAATACACTAATAACCAAAAATAAGAAATTTGTTCTTGATTACTAGTGTGCAGACGAATGGTGAGATCAAGAAAGGTGAACGTAAGACACTAGACAATGATAAGAATTAGATCAAGAAAGATGAACGTAAGACATTAGACAATGGGGTTAATATCCCCATTTTGTTCCATATTCCCATTTGCATACATATTATGTACTTTCATCATGCTTCTCCTCAAATTAAGTATTCATCTGTTCTTTTCTCTCAATTTTCGTATCATTGTCTAGTGTCTTTCGTTCATCTCTCTTGATTTCACCATTCGTCTACACACTAATATCCAAAAACAGATTTCTCATTTTTGGTTACTAGTATGTCTTTGGCGTTTGGTTTGTGCCTTGGTTCTTTGTATTATGTTTTTTTTTGTCTTAGTTTTGTTGTTCGTTAATGATTGATAACAGTTGTTAGTGGTTATGTTAGCAGATTTTAACGTCATGTCTTTTTTGGCCGGGTCAACGTTTAGTTGATGTTTAAAACGGCCTCATACGAAGTTCATGTTTAAAATGGCCTAAATTTGAAAGTTGACGATTTAACTAACAGAATAGCTAACGGCTGATAACGGCTGTTAGTGGTTCCGTTATCGAGTTTTAACGTCATGTCTATATTGGCTAGGTCAACGCAGTCCCATGTTTAATACGGTAGTCAACGTTTAGTTGATGTTTAAAATGGCCTCCTATGAAATTCATGTATAAAATAGCCATTTTTTGAAAGTTGGACGATTAAATGACATTTTTCCCTTTATTTTTCTGTTATATTACTTTTTTACATTACCCCTCCAAACTCTTGTCTTTTTTTATTAAAAATATATATATATATTTCAAGTAATAGAAAAACCGTTGAGTCTTTGACCATACTATTCTTATTCTAGTTGACAATTTTCTTCATAAACATTTTCTCTTACGACTAATTGGGACATGAATATAGTTTTAACCATCAAATTTCATACACAAAAACAGACATTTTACTAAATATTTTGTATATTGTATTAAGATACAAAAAATAACTCGTTTACAGGTCAGCAAATCAGTTATTTCTTTATTCGTAATCATTTCTTGGTCATAATATTACCATGTGTTTACTGATTATAATATTTGAGACAAAACTATTATACATAAGTGGTGTTAAAGATGATTTCTAATTATCAGTTTAGACCACAGACATGTAAATACTGTGTTCACTAGACCCGTGTTAGTCTATTAGACGAGACTGGCGAATGTCCAAGCCTCTCGGACACCAGAGAAAACGCCAATTTCATGCGTTCCAACTGGTAGGAGCGGCTTCTAAAAGACAAGCCTACCATGAGATTGATTTCACGAGACATTTTTACTTCCTTCTTCGAGTCTCGAGATTTTAAGGCCTCGGATCCATCAACATTTTCAAACATATATATAGTCTGATTAATTGTTTGTATCAAACAAAACTGTATCTACAAAAAAAAAAAAAGGCAAAAGCAAAATAAAGATGAAGAGTGGATTTACAAATGTAAGGGCACAAGTAGAGGTTTGAATACACATATATATATGTAATGTAGCTACACCATCCACAATCTCACGACGACGGCCAAAATGAAAAACCAAATAATGAATAAAATGATAAAAGACAAGGATCATCTGGGAGCCGTGGAAGTGCCTGATTCCATGTTTTCGAGAGAAGTTGAATCCATCTGCAGAGACATTGCCCTCAAGGCATCTCCGTTCTGGGAGGAGGCCACAGGGACTCCTCGTTCTTGGGCAGCCTTGAAATAGGCGTAGGGACCCCATCCCTCTTCGTGGTAAGGGTTGGGGTAGAACTGACGGTAGCAGAAGGCGGCGACAAGGATGCCGATGAGAGCTCCAGCGAAGACGTCTTGCCAGTGGTGCCAGTAGTCATCCACACGAGATATCCCCACGAGGCAAGCAGCAAGCAGAGGGAAGATCACGAGGCAGAGCTTAGCCACGTGTCCTTCACCGTTGAAGGCCTTGATTTTGCCAGAGAGGTAAAGGGAGAGGAAGGTAAGCCCCGCAAAAGACCAGGAAGTGTGTCCGCTCGGGAAGCTCTTGTGGCCTTCCTTGACCTCAGCTGCCTTGCCGTGGCATATCACACCTCCCAACGCATCATACAGCTCTTTGCCGTCGGGGAAGCAGCGCCAGTAGAAGTTAGGACGAGGGCGTCCGGTGGCTACCTTGATGGAGTCAGTGATGACACCAGTTATCAAGACGGCGAAGAGCAGCCCGAGGATGCTGTGGTGCAGATCGTACACACATCTCCTCTTAAGGTAGAAGCAGACGAACAGTATGATGGGAAGAAGCACCGCGTACACCGGGACAGACCAGATCGGGACGGTGTTGTCCTTGAAAGGGTACTTGAGGTCTGTCATCATGTCCTTTCCCACGTAGCGGTAGAAAGGAGAGATGAGGTTCAAGCCAATCTCGATGGCGATCAAGATGACGAGTATAATCCAATCGTGCTTGTGTTTAGAGGCGACTCTGCCTCCATGGGTCTTTATAGTGTGAACTCCAAGATCTATCTCCTGAATCCTTCCTCTCTGCGCCTCCTGGTCCTGCCAAAAACACAAACAATCATCAGAATCAACTAAAACTTCTTCTTATCGGATCCAAACAAACAATTCATAAATATTGCTACTTGGGGTTTAGGGTTTGACATGTCCGGTAAGGATGATAGTAATAACGGAATGCAATTCATTCTCTGGGATGAGCAAATTGGTTAAGGCAAGTAGAGGTTAGCAAAGAACTTTGTCAAAGCCCACGACAAGACTTGCTCTACGGATCCAGCCACTTTTTCGTCTGTCCGATTCGTTGTGCTAAGCACACCACTGTTTCATTAACAATGTTTTCGTTGACTCTATTTAACTAAACAAGTTGTGTTTTTTTTTTTTCACTTTATTGATATTTTTATTTTATTTTAAAGGAAGTAGAACAGAGAAGAGTCGATTGGGGGTTACCTGAGAATTGCGCCAGAATAAGAGAGAAGAGAAAAACGATCCAATTGTCATCAGGAAGGATTAAGCTTCTCGAAATGAGAGATCGAGGAGGCTTAAAAGAAATGTGGATCTCGAAACTTAGGAGTAAAACAGAGGAATTCTCTCTCTTAATATGATGGACTGATATAATTAGTCCGATGATGAATGAAAGAGTATATAAGAGGAACAAGGGAGGAGGAGGAAGAAGACGCGTTGTTAAACTTCCAAGTTTTTGTTTTGTTTTTGTTTCCCCACTTGACGGTTTGATAGAAGAAGAAAACAGAGCGAGAGAGAGACATGATCAACCTCCTCCTCTGCCTCTCGATTTTAGACTTTTGACTTTTCAGTTATCGCCGGTCTGATATGGCCTTCGTCTTCTCAGCCGCGTGGGTCCCACTTTTTAGGAAGGTTCCCACTATCTCTGTGGGCTTTTTTATTTATTATGGGCCTTCTACCTTGTAATTATTTACGTGTCACATGATCCAGTTTTCAAACTACATGAGGGAACAATGATTTCTTTTTTGGACTTACTAATAATAATATGTTGTACTTGTACCCACATTTCATTTCAATCACTCAGGACTTTCGAAGCCATCCCAATAACATTTTCTTCACACGCACTGAGAATTGAGAATCGTTCACAAATTCATCACCAAAGGGAAAAATTATTCAGATTTAACACAACTCCACCATTCTCTCCTTTTTAATGATATCACATTTTATATATCGGATGTGAATCTGCTGATTTTTAAGATGTATTATGTGAGTATAAAATCAGATTTCGAATATATTATAAGATACCCAAGTTAATAATCCTATTATTTTTTGACAAACAAAAAATGTGAAGAATCTAAAATTTAGGTAAATATAGGAAAGAATCCAAAATCGTATCTCATTGACGAAGAAAGTAGAAACTACTGTTTGTGGGTTTCAGATGGAAGATGAAGTAAGTACATAATGAGAGGTCAAAAAAGTCACAAGTCTGTCTGGTTTTATTTTGGAGTACATGGCAACTTGCTCCGACGTGAGAGATGCTTGAGGACTCATAATCTTTTTTTTTTTTTTTCTTTTTTTTGTGCACCAATCTTTCTTTCTTTTGTTTCTATATTTTTGGTATCAAAATTTCTATAAAAAATGACTTGGACTTTCAAATTATCTTGTTCCTATAGACTGACAATTACGGTTGAACAAGAACAAGAGTTTTTTAAAAAAAGAAGTGAATTTTGTTATATTACCAAAATTTTATAAATAAATATAAGACAAAATAAATTTTATGGACTATTTTGTGGTATATTTAGTGATATTACAAAAATATATACCAAAATTTTGTTGTATTTTTTTTTGTGGTATATTTTGTTATATTTAACTTTGGTATATTTTTTTTTATATTTTTAAGTAAAATTATGTAATAATTGTTTTAATTTTTTTATTAAAAAATTTTAAAAAAAATTATTTTTTTGAAAATATTTTTGGTCAACGCTGGTCAATGCTGGATTCCGGCAACCAAATCACTGGAATTGGATGGTTATGGTGTTTGCAACATGACTTATGTTAGTTCAGGGATGTCCGTATGTAATGTCAATACTTCGTGTAGCTAACGAAACATTTTTAAAGTCTGCATGTGTGACTATGTGATGACGTCTCTTTCGTGTAGCTGGCAAACATTTTCCCATTATGCAACTCTGCTTTCAGATATTCGTAGGTACAATGATCGAGTGTAATGGCACCTATTTTTCCACTTTGGTAGAAGTTTTTTTTTTTTTTTTTCCCAAATGTTTTGTTGATATTATGAAATGGATAAGTCCTTTTACTTTCCATCTAATTGACATGATGTATATATGTGGTGGACCCTCCAATAACTAGTTATGTATCACCGTATCTGTACCTGTAATAATATCTCATCATATTCCTTTGGATATCTACCATTTTTGGAAATTTCAACCTCCCATCTTTGTCAAAAAACAACCTCTTTTGGATGCATTTATCGTTACTTTGTATGAAATTAATGAAAACGTTAGTTTTTGAAGGGGACGTTACTTTTCTCAATTTATGCTTATTTATATATATATTTTTTAAAATGTCGTAATCTCCTACACACAACGGATTTATATAATCGGTCAGCCATGTACAATATATTGTCATAGCTAGAGAGTTGACCCGGTGGGAAAATTGAAAAAAATGAAAAATTAATAAAAATTAAAGTTTGACTAAAACTGAAAAAGAAGATAATGCATTGCATGGGATGGAATAAAAAGAAGTTTTTAAGAAAAAAAGTACACTCGATCGGTAATGTAATTAATGGAGTTGGTTTGTAACTAATATAGTTAAGGTTTTGTATTACTTGCAAGATTTGTTTTCCCTGGACTTATTTCTTAATTAATCAACCTACACCCACCCACCAACTTTTATTTCAATAATATGAAACTATAATCTATGTTTTGATAGTTGGACTTATTGTTTTTTATATTGAAAAACTTTATCCACAAGCTATCTTGTGACATGATCTTAATTATCATCCTCGTATATATATTAAAAATCTGATATCATCATCATCATTTTTCATCTTTTAGTTCAGAATGAAATCGTTCTTTACTCGGGGAGCATAAATAAAATAGGGTTAGTAAAGTATAAATGATTAGAATGGTGGGGGTAAAGTGCAAAAGATTAACTTTTAGTATTAGTTAGGTAAATTATCAATAGACTTTGCAAACTGTAACAAAATGCCTGCATGAGCGCCGCCTGGAGCTTTGACGACCATTTCTTTGACTCCACTCGCCTTTTCTTTTTTAATTCCAAAACGCGTGTCTGGCTTCTTTTTCTTCCTCGTTTTGATGTCACAACATAGTGTTTTGGCTCATAGGAGAATTATAACCCGTCGATCGACGTAATTTGTTTGTTTAATCATATGTCATGTTGATGATGAAAAAATATATTGAGTTTAGTAATCGGAAAAGAATCCCCACGAATAATAGTAATATTATGAAGCTGCAAGGGTGAATATTAAATAGAACGTAAAGTTTGGGGGTTCACTATACAAGTCATGAAAGGTATATTTCTTTTGTACTAGTAAAATATGATTATGTCTCCATTTTACAGCCGAACCGTGAGAGCCGTTAGATGCAATCTGAATCGTAAACAAGGAGTAATATAACGGACAGGATCATAGTGGGAGGATGATACAGACCACAGAGGATTCTTCTTTGGCAGACTCCAGGGTGGAGAGCCAATCAATTAGTCGAAGGAAGGCCTGCTGTCAAATAATGTGACCTTCCCACAGCTTTTTTTGATTCCTAATTAACAACTTTGATTAGTAACGCTTAATTACAATAATCTCACCTTTTTACTAAATCAATTGTGACAAATTATCGAATCAGCTTTTCAAAATCATCACTTTGCTTTAGGCAACTCTATTCATCTTATTCCTTCCTAAATTGTTAATGAAAGTGATTTGAATAGGTAATAATCTCGTGCATTTGTTGCTATGTGCCAAAATATATCTGTTTTGGGGTTATTCTCCATTTTCATGTGACCTTGTTGTATGTTTTATAACGGTTGATTTGTTTTTTTTTTTTTTGCATCAAACTTATAGATTAATTTAGAAAAGACAGTTACACTTCCTGAAGGGAAGAATTGGAAACAAGCTAAAGAGCAAATTTAGCAAGTGCATCTGCTTTGAAATTGTTTTTTTTTTTTCCTGCTTTGAAATTGTTTATACGAGGGATAAACGAGAAAGATATAAAGGAGAAGGAATTCTTTAGACAAGAACGTCAAATATATCAATTATCTTTCGTTTATTCCCATTAAATTTTCTGGGATCCAATCCATCAAATTGCTTAATCGCATATGTTTTGTAGAAATTTCCGACCCTTTATAAAGAGGATTTATTATGTTCGTAAAACCGCATTTTTAAGTTTATTGAAACATTGTAGATCTGTAGTGAGCCTTATATAACATATTGATTATGCTTAAAATGAAACTCTCTCTTCCCATTCTTCTCTCCAATATCTCAAATTTTTAACATAACTTGAGCATCACATAGGCCTTGTTCTTATAATAGTCGTGCGATCCTCACTAGCGACATGTTTTGAAAAATTGAGTTTTGTAATTTTTTGATATCTTGTAATTATGAGTATCTTTAAGAGTGTAATTATAAATTTAAAATTTTCTAATTAAAAATTACTTCTTAAGTTGGAGAAGAAGATATGAATATACATATTAGTAAATCTTTGATTATGGCAATTTGATTTTAGAAATCCAGTGACAGTCGCTGCTTTAAAATGAAGGATTGGGTTGTATCGTCGTTTTATCCGGCAATTATGGATTCTCAAGATTTTAGTCGTTGCGATGTAGATTAGGAAAAGATGAAGAAGAGATAAAGGAGATGTAAAAGCAAATTTTAGATTGACTCACTCCCGAAAAGACTATAGTCTTTGTAGATTTCTACTTTTTATTAATTATGTTTTGATATTTGTTAATCATTTTTAATATTAACTAAGATATAGATTTGATATGATATACATATTATTTTGATATAAAGTTGTTAGGTAAAGAATTAAAATCCAAATTATTATGATGAAATAGATAGCTAAATTGTATTACAAAATAGAATGTGTAAAGTTGAAATTTGGTTTAAAAAACTAAACTAAATATATAAAAGAGTGTGGTTATTATTTAATAGCAATAAAATGGAGTACTTAGAATTAAAATTCAGTTTCTTTTGATGAAATAGATAGTTAAAGGGTTTTGTGCAAAAAAACCCTCCAACTCGTCTATTTTTGCAACTTTACCCTTCAACTCTGAAAAATGCAAAATAATCATACGAAATCCAAAATAATACGCAATATAACCCTTATTCGCTACCGTCAAGTTCGTCCAAGTTCGTGAAATTTTGACAAATAATATGTCAAATCGAAGCCCTGGCGATGAATAGTTCAACTCTACCTTTAGAATTTTTAAAAACTAATGTATGTCACAGGAAATACGTTTACAAAAAACGTATAAGGGTTATAATGCATATTATTTTGGAATTCGTATGATTAATCTGCATTTTTCGGAGATGGAGGGTAAAGTTGCAAAAATGGATAAGTTAGAGGTTTTTTTTTGCACAAAACCCATAGTTAAAATATATAGTAAATAGAATGTGTAAGATTGAAATTTTGTTTAAAACAAAAATTACTAAATTTAATATTTTTAAAAATGTGTGCATTACTATTTACTATTCAAAATTCAAATTTCTATTGATAAAATTTTATATTTATATCTAATATCCGTCTATTTAGGCGGACTTTATCTAAAATATATAAAAGTGTAGCTAATTGATCATTAGGTTATATTTATGGTTGGCAATCATAAGAAATCACTCTTAACAATAATAAAATTTTATTTAATAAAACATACATATTTGATAATGTGATTAATATCGTAAGATATATGTTTTTTTTTTCGGGAGACTTTAATCTGATTTTCTATTAAAATATCATATATTAAAAAAAAAAAACTGAAAGAAATTGGGCTGAAAGAGAAAGGAATATGTCAATATGACCATAATAAATTGGGTAAATTAGTAAAGCATATACCAAAAATAAGATTAAGAGGAAAAATAAAAAAGAAGAGAAAAAGAAAAAACAGCTGTAGTCTACATTTACATACAAGTCGTGGACTTGCAGCTATACTCTTTCTCTCTCTAAATATCAAATTCCCCAAATTTTTTTTTTGTTTTAATTTTTCCCAATTTTAATTTCTCGAGTCTGCGAATGGAACCACCGCCTTCTTCTCTTTCCTCCACCGCGGTGGCTTCCACCTCTATCCCCGCCGCAACGGCCCCTGTTCCTCCTCCTCCACCTCCTCACGTGACTTCTTCTTACCCCGAATCTCTCGACTCCTCCCCTCGTTCTCGCACCACCGATGGCTGGGATGACCTTCCTGCTCCTTCCGGCGGCGGCGGCGGTAGCGCCGTCTCTTCTAAACTCCGTCTTATGTGCAGCTACGGCGGTCATATCCTTCCTCGCCCTCACGATAAGTCTCTCTGCTACATGGGCGGCGACACTCGCATCGTTGTCGTCGACCGCAACTCCTCTCTCCCTTCTCTCCTCGCTCGTCTCTCCAACACGCTCCTCGACGGTCGCTCCTTCACTCTCAAGTACCAGTTACCCAGCGAAGACCTTGACTCTCTCATCTCCATCACTACCGACGAAGATCTCGACAACATGATCGAGGAGTATGACCGTACCATCTCCGCCTCCAATTCCACCAAACCCTCGCGCCTGCGTTTGTTTCTCTTCACCTCTAAGCCTGAGGCTACTCAGTCTATGGGTCAGATCCTCGAGAGCTCTGCCAAGAGCGACGATTGGTTCCTCAACGCTCTCAACAGCGCTGGTCTCCTCAATCGAGGATTCTCTGATTCTGATGCCAACGTCAATCGTTTGCTTGGTTTGGACGATACTCTTGCTCTCCGCTCTAATTCCGGTGACAACAACACCAATCGAGATGGAGATGACGGCTCCGTTAAAAGCGCCAAGCAACAACAGATCCAGCAGCCTCCGCCGCCGCAAGGAGGCCAAGATGTGAACTGCTTACCGGATTCTCCCATGTTGGATACATCCTCTTCTTTCGGCTCTACTTCTTCCTCTCCCTCTCTCGCCAATTTGCCGCCCATTCGTGTCCATGTAGAGGAACCCGGCGGGGTTAGGACTTTGCCAGATCAGAGAAATCTGGGAATCGAAGAACAATTCGCACGATTCAACGTTGGGAACAAGCATCAGCTACAGGACGACGGATTTGCTGCGATCTCTTCACCACCGCCGATGCCTGTCACCATCGCCCTTCCTGCTGCGCCTGTGAGTGCTGCGGCCGTCTCAAATGAGTTCCAGGCGAGGGTTTTCTCGGACGACGAGAGATCCGATCACGGCGTGCAGGCTGGATACAGAAAACCTCCGACTCCACGATCGCAGCCGCAGAATCTACCGCCTCAGCAGGCTCATCAGCTGAAGTCAAATAGCGGTGGACACGAGCTGCCATCACCAAATTCCGTTTCCAGGTACTCTTTCTTCTTAAATTGGAACTCCATGAGCCTTAATTTGATGCTATAGAGAACTAAGATTGGTCATAATTCTGATTTGTGCTTGTTATAATGCGTCAGTGATAGCAGTATGAGCAACCCAATGTTTCACCAAAGACCTTCTGTCTATCAAGAACCAATTGCTCAGTTGCCTTCTGGCTCTACCGTAGTTACTGGTATGATCAATCCCTCGGATCCCAGCACACTTTTGTCCCAACATCAGAATCAGGACCCAGCCTACATCCTTCACCCCCAATTTGAGCAACAATCTGCACAATCTCAGCCACAACAGCAGCAACAGTTCATACACACTGCTCCTCCTCCTCCTCAATACATTCATCACCATCCGTCTAGCGGCCTTCCTGTTCAGACTTACATCCAGGTTTACCCTTCGCAACAGCCGCAGTCCTTCCACCAACACCCAGGTCGACTGGATCAGCAGCCTTATCCTGTTTATTATGTCACTGCTCCCGTCCCACCTAGGCCCTACAGTATGCCTGTGCCACAATCTCCAAGTGTGAGCGAGGCTCCAGGTTCTCTCCCTTCTAGCACCATGATGCCTCCACCTCCTAACAACCACATGAGAAGTGTTAGCGGTGGCAAACCTGAGATGGGACAGGCTGGGGTTTACACAACAGCCCCAGGTGTGGGCGGTGCTCAGATGGTTCACCAGATCCCCACAAACCAGCAGCAATTCATGGGGTATTCGCAGATCCGTCACCCTCCTCAGTCTGGTCCAGCTGGGAATCCAAACTATGGATATGAATACGCCGACAATGCTCATACACAGATATACTACACTCAACCTCTGGGACATGCACAGTACCAGACAATGACTGGGCCTCCACCTGCCATGGTGATGCCTGATGGCTCTGCTGCTGCTAAGCTTCCAGCTGAGAACATGACTCAACAGATCCGGAGTTCACAGCCATTGTGACACACAAGGAACACAGGAAGATGAACCACAAAATTTTGGAGGAAGCCACGGGTTGGTTTTTAAACATATAAATATATAATTTACTTTTTTCTCTTCTTTTACAAGTTGCTGCATCAAAAAAAGAGTCTGGCGTCATGTTGGTTTGGTATTATGGATTATGTTTAAAAGTGTTGTGTGAGTAAATTATAAAAAAAAAATAAGGAAGTAGTGCTTCTTGGTGGCATTTTACATTATATAGTTGCAATTGATACTAGTGGTGCTTTACCATTTTCGTGGATCTTATATCTTATTATTATCATTCATTTTATATTGTAAATGAATCACTCCTTATCATCTCTCTATCTTGTTTTACTACTAGTTAAAAAGAGACTTGAAAGGCTCTAATACTTTGTTTAGAAAGATTCTGAAATGTTGTGTCAAAACATTTAACAGTTGGAAGAATATATGTCTGGCTTCTTCCTATCCATGGGAGCATAGGTACAGATATTAAATCATGTGTGTGGTCTTGCTAAAGTACACACAACCCTACAACTTCTCAGAGACAAGGTGTGGGTGAAAAAGGTAGTGACAAAAACCACCTGTCTTGCAATTTACCAACATAACTATCTCTTTTGAAAGAGATAGCATTTGTATCTTTACCTAAACACCAAACTCAATCCTTTATCTCTCTCTCTCTATCCATACCTTCGATTCAAGATATTTTACTAGTCTCTCACAAGCAACACAGAGCCTCCCACCTTGAATCGAGTTGCCAATAGTCTCAAATATATTTCTGACAGAGTTCACTGAGTTGAGATGTGATTTTTGTGCATCAGAAGCATTGGCTGGCCTGGTTGGTTTACAAAATCTGAACCAAATCTCTCTGTGGTCAGCTCCCCATCCCTTGCTTCAAAACCAACTGGATCTTAATGGGTTTTTCTTGTCTTCTGTCTCTTTCCTGTCTGCAATTCTGTCTTTTTTTCTTAAACTCTTCTGACACTCTTTTAGCATCAGCTTCATGCTATAAATCTTTATCAATGAGCTCTCTTTCTCTCATCCCACTTTCCCTTCTCTGCATCTGTAGACGTAAAGAAGCATCAATGGACCCAAACACAACTGCAGACTTCTTCCAAGGGTCTTCCAAGTTTCATACATATTACTCGCAGACTAAGAAGGGTGGTGGGGTAATCGATCTAGGCCTCAGCCTTAGCACCATACAACATGAAACTTACCTCCCACCGGCGCGAGGTGAGTTTCTTTGCTGAAGAATAGCCATGCTTTCACCTCATCATTAGTTAGTTTTCTTAATCTCTAATTGCTATCTTCAATATCTATATGTGAAACAAAGTGATAGGTCTCGACGGGTATGGAGAGCTCATAGACTGGTCGCAGCAGCCCAGCTATAGAAGCATTACACAGTTGAAGAGTGAGGACACTGGTCACAAAAGACTTGCCCATGGATATTACAATAATGAAGAAGAGAGCAGAGGAAAATATGCTTATGTAAAGGTAAATCTGGATGGCCTAGTGGTAGGGCGAAAGGTTTGCCTTCTCGATCAAGGAGCTTACTCAACTCTTGCTCTTCAGCTCAATGATATGTTTGGTAAGCAGTGCTCTTACCCCAAGCTTCCAGCTACAAGTATGTTTCAGAAGCTTTTGCCACATTAATTTGAATTTGCAGGGATGCAGACCGTGTCTGGATTGAGGTTGTTTCAGACTGAGTCTGAGTTCTCTTTGGTCTACAGAGACAGAGAAGGTATTTGGAGGAATGTTGGTGATGTTCCATGGAAGTAAGCTCTTGCACTTTCTCTATACAAAAACTAGCCTTTTAAGTATACCACTTTTGTAATTTGCCTGAAACTTGATAGGGAGTTTTTGGAAAGCGTGGATCGGATGCGAATCGCAAGAAGAAACGATGCTCTTTTTCCCTTTTAAGCTTCAAAGTCCAAGCTTCTCCTCTTCTGGGGCGTTCACTGTTTATCTAAGATCCAAATTATCTCACTTGTGGTTCTAATATTCAATATCTGATGTAACGGGAGCTTTAAGCTATAAATACGATTATGAAGAGAGGGACATCTTAATAACCAACCACCAACAAGACTTGGACAAATAAAAGAACAAAATAAAACAAAACAAACGGTAACCAGATTAGAGTCATCAGGCTTATGCTCCAAATTCTTGCAGCTTCATCTTTTAAAACAAGCTTTATGTGCAATCTCTAGATCTCTCAATCCCCGGCCACGGGTAATCTGTCGAGAGTATCAGAAACGTGCCTCATGGTAGGCCTTTTCTCTGGACTGCTATTCACGCAACTGATTGCAATCTTAAGAACAGCGACAATCTCGTCTTCCTTATCTGCCTCAGGAGCCAAACAAGGATCAAGAACATCACACAATGGTTTCTTCTCCTCAATGCATACCTGTACCCACCGCACTAGATCCATTTCCGATGTCCCCACCTCCACTGCTGGAGACCTACCCGCTATCAATTCCAGTAAAATGATGCCATAAGAGTAAACATCCCACTTCTGTGACGGTTTTACCATCTTGAGAGTCTCAGGTGCCTGATAGTAGGATCCAGACGAAGAGTGAGCTGTGAACTCCGAAGATACGCTCTTGTGATGGTGCTGTTGCCTCTCTTGCGGCTGTTGATCCGTTTGGATGATTCTGTTAGACTGTGTGGTCGGAGAAGATCCTCCAGCAATGTTAGCCAACCGTGCTAGTCCAAAGTCAGAGATCTTAGGTTCCATGTCCTGTCCGATAAGAATGTTGCTGGGCTTGAGATCTCCATGGATGTATTTCTTGGGACTAAACTCGTGCAGATAAACAAGCCCTGTCGCAATCCCTTTCACTATCCTCAGCCGTTCAGACCATGTCAACGGAGCTACAGTCACCATCCCCAGCTTTCCTGCACACACACACACACACATTTACAATGACATTACATGATGTAATTGAATGATGCATCTTGAAATGAGAAAAGGGTGACTCACCGTGGAGGGCGGTTGCAAGGTTACCGTTGGAAACATAGTCGTAGATGAGAAGCTTCTCATCCACAGACCAATAATAAGCTCGAAGACTAGCAATGTTAGGATGTCGTATTTTCCCTATGGCTTCAACTTCTGTCTGAAATTCCTTGAATCTCTGAGATCCTCCTTCACCCAATCTCCGGACGGCCAGTGTGAGCCCGTTCTCTAGAACCACTTTGTACACAATGCCGATTCCGCTCTTGCCCAGAACGAAAGCCGAGGCCTTTAGCAGCTCCTCCAGGTTAAACGCAACCTGAGCGTCGAGGGCAACAATGTCGCAATGCTCCACGTTTTCAGATGGCGTTTCGGATTCGTCTTTACGGAAACAAAGACACTCTGCAGCCCTTTTCTTGGATTCTTTCTCGAATCCGAACTGGTTCTCGCGGTTACAAGGGCAGAACTTTGAATAGCAGTAAGTGAAAAGCAAACCCACAAGGCAGATACCAAAAACGTCGCAGAGAACAATGGCAATGACGGCGCTTTTGCTCAAACCACTTGATTTCTGTTTGGTTTCAGAGTTACTAGTATCAGAATCCTCAGGTGGGTTGTTGCTTGGGATAAAAGGGTAAGAGGCATTGAGGCCAAGCTCATATCCTGGGCAAAGGTCCTTCAATGGCGGGCCGCATAGCCCAGTGTTGCCGATAAACGCCGTTGGTCCTCTGTTCATCAGAGCACCAGTTTGAGGAATGGGACCGGAGAGATTGTTGAAAGTGAGATCAATGTAAACCTTTTCAGGAAGATCTCCCAGAGCAGGTGGGATTGAGCCGGTGAAGTGATTATGAGAGAAATCAGCAGTTCCTTGAAGGTTGGAGAGGTTTCCGATGTCGCTGGGGATGGAGCCGTTGAATTGGTTGAAGGCGAGGTCGAGTTTCTCCAGAGAGACGAAGGCTGAGCCAAACCCATCAGGCAAAGCACCAGACAAGTTGTTTCTGCTGACATCGAGTGTTCTCAGTCTGTTGCATTGCAGAATCGAAAGCGGTAACGACCCGTTGAAGAGATTCTGCGACAAATCTAAGGTCTGAAGAAGCTTAAGCTTACCGATTTCGTCCGACAACGACCCATCAAAGGAATTGCCGTAAAGGACTAGACTTTGGAGACCCTGAAGCTGGAAAAGCTGAATAGGCAACGACCCATAAAACCTATTGCTGCGGAGATTCAAGTGACGGAGACTGGAGAGAAACCCTAGAGACGAAGGGAGAGAACCGTAAAGGCTCTTCCTTGGAATGCTTAGAGACACCACCCTGAGTTCTTTGCAAGTAACACCATTCCACGAACAGGCGTCCTCGTCTGATGAGTTCCAATTGCTAAGGGAACCAGTAGGATCATCGTGAACGCTCTGCTTAAACGTCAAGAGCGCGAAGCCTTCGTCGTTTAAGCCACTTATTACAGTCACATTGCAGAGAAGAGCAACGAAGATGATCAGCGAGGCAAACATTTTCAGATGCAAATTAGAACAAAAAAGGCGAGTGTTTTAGCAAAAAAGCAAGAGGAGTGTGAGTGTGATGGTGATGGAGTGAAGAGTAAAGTGTAAAAGAATAAAAAAGATACTCTCTCGTTGAAGAAAAAAGAGGAAGAAAGAATACAAAAGGAAGAGAGAGAGAGAGCTCTGTTTTTGCATTGGGAGAAGAGAATTAACAAAGAGAGCAATGACCCAAGTTTTGTGAAAAAAGAGGTTAAAGTTGGACTAAAGAGAAGCCATGGCGAAGTAATCCATACGCTAATTTGACCACTAATCCATTTTTAACATGTCTGTCATTTATAAGCTTTTCTGACCAAAACCATCGTAATCTCTTATCTTATGTAAAAAATGTTACTAATTCAGAAGCTTTATTCAAATAGTTACATCTTTTAAATACCTTTTGTCATGATTGTTGTTTTATACTGAAAAGTAATTTATTGGGGTCCTTTAATTGATCTGTCAATTGTCAATGTAGGTAACATTTACAGTGTTTGTCCTTTTCTATTTATCTATCTTCTCAATACACTAGTATATGACTAGTAACATTTTTTAATGCATAGTTGATGTTGCTGCAGCACGAAACTCCATGTAATACCAACTGATACAGATTACTAGACCATACTCTTTTACAGTACCAACCAATTGAGAATTAAATCACAGCTCATCTTACTTATATATATATATATATATATATTTACTTTGAATTAGTACCTTGGTACAATATTTCTTACCAAGATTAGGATTCATATAGTCAGAGTTTTATATTTAATGAAGAAAGAAATGAATGGTAATTTGGTTTTGATTAGTTAAAGGGTAAAATGAGAGGACATGTGTACAAACTTTTGTCCGGCCCTTATTGTCGTTATGGTAAAATTGTCGATAAGTAGACTTGGTGAAGTGTCATGTTTCCTAGTTTCTTAGTATTGTATAGAGAGCCCCAAAAACCCAGAGAGAGAGAGAGTGGGCCTGTTATCTCCTCACGGGGACTATCGGCGACGACTCCGAGGGAGCGCGGGGGGCACAGAGTAATAAATCAAACATTTCGGGGTTTTAGCGTAATATACAACTATTTTGGGGCACAAATTGTAAATATCGAATTCTACACTGGGGGCGGCTAATTTCCGGCACGATTGATCGATCATCATCAATGGGAGGAGACGAGAGAGAGCGAGAGAAACAATGGGAGAGGCTGCGATCCGTACCATCGTCGAAGCCATTCACTCATCTCCGACGCAGGCCGTCGTCTATCTTTCCGGCGGTGCCTCTCTGGTTTCACTCTCTCTCTCTCTCTCTCTCTTTCTTTGTGATTGATTCGTATGCGATTCACAGTCTCAATTTATACTAGATGAATTCTCTCAGGCTTTAGGTTGGTTGATGTCTGTTCCTGGAGCTTCCAACACGCTTCTCGAAGCCGTGGTTCCTTATTCCAGAGTTTCTATGGTCCAATTACTCGGCAGGGTTTGTTCATAACCCTCAAGCAATCGTTGTTTCTCATCTCTCGATTATCGATCAGCTGATTTTGTTCGCTCTCTCATCAGGTTCCGAGCCAACACTGTAGCCAAGCAATGGCCAAGGAGATGGCCTTGTTAGCCTACAATCGGGCGCTTAAGCTCTCTAAACCAGGTTTACTTTACACTTTCTCTCTTTCTTCACTTCACCATCCTTGTTATACATAGAAATCCTGGAATTCCTTAATCTGGTTGATAGGATATCCGGTTCTTGGTGTCGGTTTTACGGGATCATTGGCAACTTCTCCTCCTAAGCGTGGGGATCACAGGTTTGTTTCCTGTTCTTATAATAATAAACTTGTTTGCTTGAAATGAAAGCCATCACAATTAGCTAGTTCTAGCATTGCCGCTTATGCTTTCTATTACTCATAGTTTTGTTTGTTGTGCGCGAGTAGGTTCTTTTTGTCTATGAGAGCATCCAACCGGATTTGGGAATCTTCAGTCACTCTAACTAAGGTCATTGCAACCTTCTTTCTCCCCTATTACTTTACTCTTTAGTATCCAACTACTCATGTGTTTTATCTTATTGTGGAATATTTTAGAACTTACGGAGCCGAGAAGAAGAAGATAAGGTGTCAAGTTGTGCACTGATCCAGGTTTGTTACCTAGCTAATTACAATCTAGTACCTACCTTGGCCTTTGCCGTCTGATTTTCCTTTCTCTAGCTTTTTAGGAAAAAAGAAAACTGACAAGGTAGTTTAGTTACTGGTACTACTAACAAGAACCTGCAGACGTTTCTCTTTCATAATTCTGTAATACTAAGACTATATATTCTTCTGGGCCAGTTTTTATCCATACTTCTCCAAAAGCATTGTTTTCTGAGGTTCATCATGGACTGAGTTCTTAAAAACTTTTCTGGTCATTATCTTAGGCTATGGCCAAAGCATGCCAAGTTTCTGGGACACTTGACTCTGGCTTGACCGAGTCTGAGGTGCCTTATGAGTCTGAAACCCACTTTACTGAAGAACAAGAACTAGAGCAGCTTATAAATGGGCACTTGTGCTGTAAGATTTATCCATTTTCTGGGGGTAAGATTTTGGTCATTTGTCCCAATGAAACTTACAACTTTTTATTTAAAACTTAATCTGGCATTTGTTGCCATTAATTATGTTGTTTTAACTTTGTGGCAGAAGCACATGGGTCTGATGAAGATAGAAAGATTATACTGCCTGGCTCTTTTAACCCATTACATGAAGGTCATCTTAAGCTGTTAGAAGTTGCTATGAGGTAAGCTAGTATGTCTTTATTATTTGCTTAACGAGTACCTCTTTCTCTTTCAGGTGAACATGTTTATAAAATACACCGTGGTTAATGTTAATCATTGTGTATAACTTGAGTCTTCTGTGTGTCTATTATTGTCTTTTGACTCTTTTCTGTCTCTCTGTGTCTTAGTTAAATCTGATATGCTATATTATGCAAGATAAGTAGTAAATGATAATTTCTTTCGCTGTGCCCACATGTTGTGATTGTGTGAATTAATTCCGTTCTTGTTTGGAGAGGCCTCTGGTATTTTGATAATTGTCCTTTTTCTCTGCAAAATAAAATTTAAACAATCTCACAAGCAGATTTGTTGATGCAGAGTTTGTGGGGGCGGGTACCCATGTTTTGAAATATCTGCAATAAATGCCGACAAACCACCGCTTTCAGTTACACAGATTAAAGATCGTGTCAAGCAATTTGAAGCAGTTGGTAGGCGGGATCTTTATTTTTCACTCACTATCTATTTATCTTTTCAGTCTCGTGCACCACTTTTTTGGCATCTCTAAGTTACAACAATCTTATGATCCATTTGTTTCCAACTAGAGGAAGACCAATCAATTTTGTGATCCAGATTCGAGCTATAAATGTTTCCAATGCATTTTTTTTTTTGTCTACATGCTTGTGCCATCAGTTGATATTGGTTTAGTATTCGGTTGGCAGGAAAGACAATAATAGTTTCAAATCAGCCATACTTCTACAAGAAAGCTGAACTCTTCCCAGGAAGCAGTTTTGTAATTGGCGCTGACACTGCAGCAAGGCTTGTCAATGTATGTAAATACTGAACCGTTTCCTGATCCTCTTTTTGTTTGTTTTCCTTAACTCTACAGTTAGATTTATTTACTACACTGTTGCGGTGAGCGACCTGAAGCTTAATAAGACGTGTGAAGTGCTCTATTACCTTCCAATTCCACACTATCAAAGAAGATTAATAAACTGGATTTCTTGCAGCCAAAGTACTATGAAGGAAGCTACAAAAGGATGTTGGAGATACTTGGTGATTGCAAACGGACAGGTTGCACTTTCCTTGTTGGTGGCCGCAATGTAGATGGTGTATTTAAGGTTTGACCTAAGCACTAGAATCTAGAGCAATACAAATTTACTCCCTTTGAGAGTTGTCTATAAGCCTAATGCCTTATCCTTGCTCATCTGCAGGTTCTTGAAGATCTTGATATTCCAGAGGAAATCATCGACATGTTTATCTCAATTCCAGCAGATATATTCCGGATGGATATATCCTCTACAGAGCTTAGAAAAAAACAAGGGGGTATTACTTCATAATACACGAAGTAATGACCGTTCAACCCGCATGAAAGTCTTGGCTTGCAAGAAAATTTCTTTAGTGCAGTTGCTTTTTGATTTGATCTGTATTGTTCCATTCTATTCGTTATTATGGAATGCTTACATATTGTACAAAACAAGCTGCATCAGCTTGGAAAGGGAAATTTTCTTTGTTCTTGCCATGCTTGTGAAAAAATAAGAACCAACCTTCTTAGCTTGGTTTTATGTTTTTTCTGGCACCATAGCATGTTGCAGTTGCCTCAAGCTTTCACTATCCAACCCAAGCTTGATTTCTCAAAAGAATAAGATAGAAATCAATCAAGAACTCAGTTATGCAGGTACACTGCTTTTCAAGGAATGGGAAGAATGTATTCCCCCGTGAGGTAATGATCTCGATTGCTTTTCCATTTCTGAGTATAACAATCGCATACTTGTGTTAGTTCTCCATGAATGCTAGATACTTAGCAAAACAAATTTCTTATTCTAAAAACTCAAACCAATTTGATTGTTGCTCTTAAATATCTAGTTCTGCATGTTATCTTCTACGAGCACAAGTACGTTGCTTCTGTGTCTGTGGTGGATTCAGCTTCAATGCAGCCACAACGGCGTGCTTGCAGGAAGTCCCGCCTCAGTTCAGTATATACTGCAACGGTGGCGGAAGGAGGTGTGAAACATCTCCCTGTGGCAGATTTTGGGTCATGTCATGTGGACATAATGAATCCGGATCAATGGTATAAGAATTTGCACAGAAGAGTGATGAGGTGCAGAGTTGCCTGGGAAGCGTTAAAACTTAAAAGTGTGCGAATATTTGTGAATTGTGACAGAGAAGCCTTGCTAGATATTTACCACTACTAGGAGCTGATTAGAATCTGTAATCATATTATCCAGGGTTCTTTCTAGCTAATTAGTGCAAATCTTGTAATAGATTCGAATGGTAGAAAAATGTGATGTTTCACAGGTTTCCGCAAATATAACATTTTAAAACTTCGTATGCGATCACCACTATTCATGCATACATTATGCTCCAGTTCTTCATTTTTGTTATTGGGCTTTTTCAATATATGGGCCTAAATCAAATGGAATTAAAGTTCTTTGTAGCCCAATGGGCAGTATAAAAGTCAGCCCAAACGTGACACGCGTGGTTGTCGCACTGCGAAACGCAAGTTTCTTACCTACTCGCAGAATAAGCGCGTCGACGCCACCTCCAAGAAATTGCTGTTTTTCGTAGAATTTTAAAATTTCGCGCGTGAGGATCATCATTCTCAGTTTGAGGCAACAACAAACCAAAAAAATGCAAACTTTTTGAGGGAACATGGATTTTTTTATCTTGTGTTATCACTGTCCAAGAACTCCCAAAGTTTTATTATTTTCTGTTTCTGATAAAGTACTTGACCCTCACATGATGTGACAAATTAGTATATGTTTTCATCCTTGTTACTACTAGGAATGTGATAATAGCATATATAGAGGTGAGGTTGGCTTTCATTCCGGTCATGAACTACTCCACCTTGGGGGCCCTAGGAATTTTAGAGACAACTTTGGTTTTGAATACTTCAAGTAACTTGTCCTTCTCTTCTGATACCTTCCCCATGAAACTGTCAATGACCTCTTGAAATTGCATGTACAAAACCGGAATCGTCATCGAGCAGACTAAGCCTGGAAGGGCGTGGTTATTATTTAGTTATTAGAAACAAATACAAGGACGACACAAAAAAATACAAGGAGATAACAGGTCAGTTATGTGTGGTCTTACATATATACAAAATTGTGAGGAGGCTGATGTAGCTCCCAATGATGTGTATGGTGGTCACATAAAGGATGGTCTGCCACATGAAGTTTATAAATGAATCTTTAAAATTGTATGGAAAACTAGAAAGGTGTCGAGTAGTGAAAGATTCACCTTAAGAAAGGTTTTGTTGTCTTTCCCATATGCAATCTCATACATCATAAGGAGATGGCCCTCCATCTTTAAAAACAAGGCTTTAAGTGGGGAATCTGGTTGATTTAGCTCTTCTGGAGTGGGAGGTCTCCTGTGTAATTAAGATCACAGAATTGGTGAAACGTTAAATAAGCTGGCTCTACTGTAAGTTGTTTTTCTTTCATGACTTACTAAATGGTAAAGATGTGTATATATATATATATATGTATTTGGTAGGTACCAAGTGAAAAAGACTTGTCCGAACTTGGCCCAAAGGAAAAGGAGGAGCATGAGGAGTAACAAGATTGAGCAGAGAAGCGGAACAAATCGAGCCTCCATGATCTCTAAGAGGAACCAGAAAAGTGTGGCCGTTACAAGTGTTATCCCCGAGTTTATCCTGTCCTTCCACTGACATAAATCCCCCACTGCAACAACATTTCCCAATTGGTTAGTCTCTTCTTTGATTAGATCTTGTTTCCTCTAGAAGAATGTCAGGTCTTTATCATATTTTACAAAGTGAGAGAATTGTGCATGGATTCACATTCAAAATGTATTAGTAAGTACTAAGTACTAGAGGAGAATAAAGAGGCTTTTTTTTTTATAAGAGAATGATAATCGTAGATTATGATGTCACCTGCTCCATCGCCAAGTATTTGATCCACAAGAGACATTTTGGTTGTGTTGTGATAATTCCTTAATTCTTAAAGGAGACCTGCAATTTCCTTAGACCATAGACTATAGGGATTATATAAGTAGAATAAATCAACCATTTAATCTCTCTTGTCAGCTTTTTTTTTTTTGGCATGCTTTGTAGTCTTAACTCTTAAATCTTAATTAAACCATAATTATGGTAGCCTTTAATATCCCAAAGGCCAAGTTCACAGAGATGATGATACATGTTCTATTTATTCATGCAACATATTCATTTTTTTTTTTTTAAACAAAAGATTATCTTCTATTCCATTATTAGTCTATTATTAATACGCGTTGATTTATTTATCATTGCATGCAAAATTATGGTAACACTTTTTAATATTTAGCTAGATTTGGTTTTCTAATTTTGTTGTGTATAGTTATTAATATATAGATTACGTTTTTTCATTTTATTTCTTTCCATTTTAATTTAAAGTATACATCTCTATATACTCCAACTAGAATTCACAGGAACGATTACTGTTTCCGCCACCGAGTTTATTACGTACCATTGATCCTTACTTCACTTACATCAAACAACGAATTCGTTAATAAAATGAAGATATGGATTTTTAAACAGTTTCAGACACATTAAAGAAAATGTAGAATTACTTGCAGAACCCATAGCACAAATTAAGATCCAAAGAGAACAAAAGATAAGATTCAAAAAGTCTTTCAACTTAAATAAGAAGATCAAAATCCAGGAGGAGGCATATAATGAAAACACAGAGAAGTCTGACATTGAAAACGATAACATCTAATTCATCCTCCTGATAAGCTCATTGATGAAGTTCTCACGGTTTCCAGCATCACCACCTTCCACGTAGTGATTTCTCTTCTTCTTGAGGCCACCGAGTGGTGCCTTAAGCTGGAAGGGCCAAAGGAAGTTGTTGGCTTCCTTGAAATGAGGTCCTACTGTGAGAATCTCGTGGATCAAATCCTCAGTGCAGATGATTCCATGCTTTCCCAGAGCCTGTTTTAGTTGTTGTATGGAAGAAGAAACGGTGAGTCTTAACTTGATATCAGAACAACAATTAAGAAGCACAGAGGCAGATTTCAAACCTGCTCAACAATAGAGTTGTCAGTCAAAGCCACCCTCTGGTGGTTTAGCTTGCCATAACCTCTCTTGTAGATCAATTCCTTGACACTCTTCAAGTTAGGGAATCTGAAAAGAGAAGAGAGAGATCACTGTGATCTTGTTTTCATGGTAGCAAATTTAAGGGTTTAGGATGAAAATGTATATACCCGTAAGTGACATAGGGCTCAACACGGCGAAGCATGTTCATTGTAGCCTTGTTGACTTTAAGGAAAACGCCATTGAAAATCTGCATTACACAATGCCAAATTCCATCAGTATTCAATACCAACAGAATCATTTCATTCCATGTGACAATATCAGAGCAGCTGATTGTCAATAAAAGATAAGAGTCTATCTCTAACCGAAGACTAATAATAACCTAGTATTGCAGTTAGTGACAATCCTTCCAAAGACTCATCAACACAAACACAATCATAGATACCACAGCAACAGATAAAAATGTACACAAACCTGTCTCAAACGCAAAAGCTGGAGAATCTTCTTGGTCTTAGGGTCAATGGCATTGATACTGCAAATTAGAGGAACAAAAGATAAGGACAACAACATACTGCAAATGCTCTAAAACTCAGACAAAAAAAACAGGATTACATACCCACGGATACGGATGATGAACAAGAGCTTAGCTTCAGGGTCAACATAGAAACCTCCCTTAAGCTTGGCCTCGCGTTTCAACGAGATCAACTCCTTCTCCTGTGACCATAAAACTTGAGTTTCTAAACAAGTGAACAGAGATCAACTCCTTGAATTTGGAAATAAAAAATGGTTACCTTCTCGGCATATTCCTTGGAGTATTGCTCGGCTCTTTTGAAGATAAGCTTCCTGTTCTCTGCGTTCTTCTTCTTGGCGGCTTCAGCATTCTGCTTCTTCTCCAAAGCCCATTCCTCCTCTCTCTTCCTCTTCTTCAGCACCGACTCCGGAACTACAACCTTTGACTCAACCATTTCCGAATCCTGCAGATCTCAACCCAGATTCAATATTGATTATCTTCGATAGATAGATGATGACTGAAATAGAGAATCGACGACACTAACCTCTCTGTCGAACGCAATTTCTCAGAGGCGATTTATTCTGCGGCGATGAGAGTTTATATATATATATGCTTCTCAAATTAGGTTAACGTAGGAAGATATGGGCCTCATGAGCCCGTTATTCTTTTGAAAGCCCGTTTGGTTCTCTCCCTTATGCCTTAAGGCCCCTTTTGAGATTTGAGAAGACATATAAAAAGGATTTGAGTGGATTTTTTGGAGCTTTTTGGGATAAACCTGAGGGAAGATCCTGCAGCCAAAGTGATCTTTCTCATGTACGTAGATTGCAAGTGGAGGAACATATATGGCAATCTGTGGTTACTCTTTAACCTGACATTTGTCTACCAACTTTATGAGCTCCGAAATTTTGAACATTCATATGTACTCCAAAAGTTTCTATTATTGCACACAACATTGTATTGGTATATAGCAATACAGTTAGCCCAGGGTTCACATACATTATCTGCTGACCAAACAAAATTCGTTTATCTATATAACTTACAGATATAAAACTCAACTCCTTTTAAACCTGAATCTGACAACAACCCATATCAACAGTTTTTGAGTTTCTTTCTAAAACTCTCTCAAAGTGCCTCACAACTTCATGTCATTTCCGTATCGAATCTTCCGTATAAAAATCCTACTCAGCGACGGCAGAAGAAGAGGAAATCAGGGTGGTTTACATTACAAGAATGCAACCACTTGTCAGCGGCTTGGAACAGAGAGTTCACGAGCTGGTGCTCGGAACCCCCAATGGGTGTCCATAATGAACCTCTGAACTTGTATGAAGCAAGCCCAAACACAGGCAATGACATCTTCTCACTCTCCCTTGCCTGCATAAGGCTCATTGATTGTGCACTGCCTTTACCTACAACAGCCAAACGTTGTGAATACATCTATCTACCAAACAATTTGACTTCAAACCAACTGTCTCTAACTCTTCTGGTGAACACACACCTAGTTATGTTGTCGAGTAATTGATAGTCAAATCATGCTACTCTAGCCACAGGTCACTAATAAATTGGAATATTTTGGATCTACTCAAGTATATTTTGGAACCATGGCTGATTAGATATAGTCCTACGCAATTTTCGTCTTGATAATTTTAAGTTTTTAACAGTGTAAACCTGCAGCTTGTTGTTTTAATAGAATAAAACGGTTTTGTTTTACCTCCAGAAGGTGTGTGTAGGGAATGATAAGTCAAGAAACAAGCATCCAGGTCCTTCAATGTCGGTCCTGTGGGTATTCTGTAAATTGGGTACCTGCAATATATAGCACAGATTTTCAGAGACATGAACAACATTGTGTCAGCAAGCAACTGCATTCAAAATACAAGCAACAATACCATGCAACAGAAAACCAGCTTGACGGAAGTAAGTCACAGCTTTTCAGCGTCATCAGCTGGGGAAACTGAGCTGCAAGATCAAACACCTGTATTGCAACATAGGCGATAGTCATGAGGAGGAGCCTAATATGAAAGACAGAGTCAAACAGGTTCCCATTTCTTCGCCAGTTTAGAATGTGGTCTAGTTTATTGACTAAAATAAATCGAAAAGAATGTGGTTTAGTTTAAGTTGACGATGACTAGTTCCTGAGATTAACGGGTTGGAAACAACCAACTGTCATTTCTGAGCATTAGCTTTGAAATTTGAAGATACCTGGTATGATGTAAAAACGCATAAGATATGAATATCTGTCATCATCTTAGTTTTTGGGAATCCATCTAATGATTATACTAAGGGATGCTTTCGTAATTCTATATTGTGAGGTTCTAGTAGAGAAATGAAAGCACAAACCTTGTCGGCCAAAGGTTCACGGATGTATGGAAGGTCTCTTTCAAGATACTCAAACATCAAACGACCTTGAGAGCCTAAAGGTTCGCCATCATCACTGGATGAATCTTCATCCCTCAATGAGATACGGTCTACTCTAGCAGAAAGCTGTTCAGAATCACTATCGCTGCTGACATCGCTACTTGAATCCCGGAAATCGCTGTCGCTACTATCACCTGGACGCCTGCCATATAGGAAGGTAATATAAGAGCCAACATAATGAAAAACAGCTTGTTATGTTATAGTGCTGCTGATATGATGAGTCCAGAAAGAATAAGAACCTTGATTTAAGAGAAGAATTCAAGGCATGAGAATGAGCATAGATTTGAATGGCTGACAAAGAGGGGACATAGTATTGGATAACACGATCCTTGTTGTTATTCAAGACAAGAGGCACTCCGGTGCCGTAAGCACTCCACTCCGCAAATGAGTCCCATACATCTCCAAGCACAAAGTAAGGCACAGGTTTATAATCATCATCGGCTCTTCTTTCCCATAGCAATGTCTACACAGAGATTATCATCATCCACCAAATGCCATAAAAAGAAAGAGAAATAGAGTTTGACATGTTGATTGAAAGAAACCTTAGATAAAAACTGGGCCGGGACGGATGGTGTGACCGACTCTAAAAACCGATCTAGATTACTCGAAGACGAAGCGGACGGGTCAGAGGCAACAAGGTTAGGAAGGAGTTTATGTTGTTTATGCGGAGCTGATGAGGGGCCGTTAGAGACGTCGCTCTGAGCTCTCCGGAGCTGATCGATGCGCTGATTGGACCTGCGAGCTTTTGCCCAAGTGTGGAGAGGATCGTCGCCGTGTCGGCCTCTCGTCAACTGAAATCCAGCACCCAACATCGAGTTCGTTCGTCGATCGATAAACACCAACAGTCCTCGTAGTTGATTTGACCTATCTATCTATCTATCTATCTATCTATCTAAGTTCAATTTAGCTGATTTTGCGTAAAAAAAGAATAAGCATGTGTCTGTCTCCGATGAGACGGCGAAGAAGCTTGGTCGAATCGGAGATTCCAATTCCAAGAAAGAAAGGGGGAAAAATGGATCCAAGGAAGACGAATTGATAGAACAAAAAAGGCTCCTGATGATGATATCTAAGCTCCGATTAAACTGGCAAACATATTAGTGGAAGAGGAAAAAATCCCAAGAAAGGAGAGATTCGCCGAAATGGAGAGAGATTTGGGAATTTCAAAAAAAAGGGGTCAATGAAAAGAGAAAGACGATTGGTTCGTAATTGGAGAGGGAGAGAGAGAAAGCCACTGAATAACACATTTGTCCCTCATAGTTTTTGGTATTTACAATTGGTCCTTACATTTGATGATTGATTGCAGTTTTACCCGAAACTTTCTTTTGTAATTGGCGTGAGGTCATAATTCAAATATACGGTTACTTAAACAAGTTAATCCCAAGGAAATGCAAAGTATTTAAGACTGCTCAGCTGCATAACGTAGATGGTGGGTAGGAATGATTTGGGGTAATGAATGTAACATTGTAAAATATGATGACAAATATGTGACTATGGGAAAAATAAACATTGGCAAAAGCCAAAGGCCATACATATTAGGAGGCTCTATAATTTAATGGTGGATACTCGATGTTTGCTTGCTACATAGATGCTGACAAGATGATAAAATATATGCAGTGGCAAATATAAAAAAGAAAGGCTGTAAACATTTGGTCTTTCTTTTTTTTCTCATAGAAAAACTTCACAATGTTGAAGAATAAAACTATACCATTCAAGTTTCAACTAATACATGTGTACCTACTTCTTTCATCATTCATTGACATTTGACAATAGCATAACATTAATATTCATCATTCTTATTCATTGGGGCTTGAATTATCCATTAGATTTTTTATATTTAATAACACTTACATGAGATTATAAGGAGTTCTTACGCGTAAGCTTAGACTTAGTCGTCCTTCTCTCTCTAACCCTAAAAAACCCTCTCCTTTCTCTCTTCAAAAAGTAGTCGCCGCTGTGTTTTTTTTTCTGGTTCCGGTGGTTTCCACAGCACTGGAGCCGGAGAAACTCTTTCTCTAGTCTTGTTTTATCTCTTTTCTTTAGTACCTCCATGTTTTTCTTCCAACGGAATCAGATCTAAGTTTTTAAAGCTTAAATCTTTTCATCCTTGTGTTCTTGCTGTTTGGCTCTTTTGTCTCCGCCTTTCTCAGCTTCCGATCTAGCCGTATCTTTCCTTGGCAGAGGCAGTCTTCAACCGGTTCTTCACTGCCTCAGATGAAGAAATTTCACCTTCGTAGATCTAGATCTTCTTCCTTTCTTCAAGAGACGATCCTTGAGTCTCTAGGTTTTGGATGTGTCTCACCGCCTCCGTGGCTCCTCTCTGGAGCATTATAAAGAGGATCGCACGACACTTTCATTCGGTTCCAAATTGTGGTAAAGGAGATTCTTGTATTGTAACCCGTTTGTGTGTTTTTCTTAATCTCATATTTGATTTAATTTTCTAAAGTTTAGGTTTTGTAATTCTTTTTTTGGGATTCTAGATTATGATCCGGGAAGTATTGATGGTTGTAGTGTAGTTGGTTTGTTTGGGTTTTTTTTTCTCTTTGTTTACCTTGTTTGATCTTTGTCTCTAAGAATGTTCTTGTACTCGCCAGCTTATGTCTCCGGAAGTGTCTTGTACTTGCCGGCTCATGTATTTCATCTTAAATCTAATCAATAAAATCCTATTGACGAAAAAAAAAAATTAGAAGGAGTTTTGATAAGTGAAATGAATCAATTTTATTGAGCACGTGAATCTGCATTCTGCAATAGGCGGCTAGTTTTTTATCAGCCACATAAGTAGTAGTAGTATTTTATTATTAGAAGATGTGCACATGACCAACACATTACAGTGTTCTTTTTGCCTGGCTTCAAAGGTCCACAAATAATGGATTTAATAATTAAAAAAAAAAACAATTGTTGCATACTGTGGGGAATTCGACTATACAGGAAGCATTTTGGAGGGGTATAAAGTTGGGAATTTACTACTCAATTTAGCACTATGATTAGTGTTTGAATAAGGTGATCTTTGAAAGATAGCACAATTGGGCCCAAAGTGTTGTCTGAATAAAGCCCATTATAAAACAGTAACGGAGTTCAAACAGTGGGTAAGAGATGTGCGACGTCGTTCCAGAGCTTGTATATCAAAAATCTTCTTCATTTCTCTCAAAAGAAGAGGAGGGAAGCTTTCGTCTGTAGATCTCTCAGAAGAAGAAGAAGAAGAAGAAGAAGAAACGAAACTTTGAAATCTGAGAGGAGGGTTCGTATTTCAACAGGGCGCTTCGATTGGATTTGATGTCTTTGGTGCATCTGCTTTTGTTCGCCGGCCTTGTAATCGCCGCTTCTTCTTCTTCCCCGGGCTCGCGCTTGATTCTCCGGGAAATCGCCGATCAAAAAGACAAAGCTGTTGAATTGAACACTACCAACTTCGATTCAGTTCTTAAAGACACCCCTGCCAAGTATGCCGTCGTCGAATTCTTCGCTCACTGGTCAGTTCTTCGATTGCTTTTGTATTAAATCTCCACTTTTGGTTGGTGGGTTTTGCACCTTTATCTACCTAATGTTTGGTGCTGGATCTACCGTTGAATTCTCTTGCAAGTGTGTTCTTCTTATCGGAAAAGATTTTAGCTTTATGATCCTATTCGTGTGCTTATTGCTACTACAAGTCTTTATATTTCCACTGATATGTGTATCGTTTCACTTGATTCTAGGTGTCCTGCCTGTAGAAACTACAAGGTAACAACTATTCAAAGCCTCATCTTTCGTTATTCCACGCGTTTTACTCGGGAGATTTCCGTTGCCTAAATTGTTACTCTTCTGCAGCCTCATTACGAGAAGGTCGCAAGGCTCTTCAATGGACCAGATGCAATACATCCCGGAATCGTTTTGATGACTAGAGTTGATTGTGCAATGAAGGTTCTTACTCTATGCTCCTAATTTATCTATCAGTGATGTTCAGTTGTGTTGGTTCACTGTTTCTGATGCTAAGTCGGTCCATTTAATGACTTCCCTGGCAGCGCAGACGAATACCAACCTCTGTGACAAGTTCTCTGTTTCTCACTATCCAATGCTCTTTTGGGGTCCTCCTATAAAGTTTGTCTCTGGCAGTTGGGAACCTAAAAAGGATAAAAGCGAGATACTTGTTATTGATGATGGCCGCACTGCTGAGCGTTTGCTCAACTGGATTAACAAGCAGATTGGCAGGTTTGTGCCACAGATGCACCGGACTTTTATCTTCTGCATTGGCTCGAAATATATCTAACATATTCAAACTATGTTCCATCTTTGAAGTGTATCTATAATTTTCCTTACCGAGTTTGCCAATATCACATCTTACTTACTCTGTTTTGTTTCTCAATATTTTGCAGTTCTTATGGCTTGGATGATCAGAAATTCGAAAACGAACATGCCCTGTCCAATATTACCAACTACAACCAGGTATCAAGACTGATCTCTACCTAACTTTACTGAGATTATTAGCGTTTTTTCTAAGATTAAAAAGCTTTAAGATAATCGGGTTTGATTTGCCTCAGATTTCTCAGGCTGTGTATGACGTCGAGGAAGCAACCGCAGAAGCGTTTGATATCATTTTAGCACATAAGGTAGAGAGATGTGTATGGTTTTTGTGTATGTTTGTGACCTTCTTCCATTCGCTCAGTTTCGTTAATTTATAAGTAGTTTCATGATGTGTACAGGCCATTAAGTCATCTGAAACAGGTGCTTCATTTTTAAGATTTATCCAGCTTCTAGCAGCACATCATCTTTCCAGGAGGTAAATTAAAGTCTCATTATCCTAATGCTGTCACAAGCATTCCGATGGTAACCCTCTTTTTCCACACTAATTGTGCAATTTATATTCTATAGGTGTCGGAGAGGAGCTGCAGAAATTCTAGTGAACTATGATGATTTATGCCCTTCTGGAAATTGCTCTTACGAAAAATCTGGAGGGAACGATACCCTGGGGAATTTCCCTATTTGTGGAAAGGATGTTCCGCGTGGATACTACGTGAGTGCTAGCAACCAAGTCTATTACTGTTTTCCTGTATATCCACATTAGAGATCTGATAGTCCTAATATCATATTTGGTAGATGTTTTGCCGTGGCAGCAAGAACGATACTCGTGGATTCAGGTACTGTAGTTCCTTTTTAAACTTCATACCATGATACTTCAATTCAGTTTACTGAACTAATCCTTGAATGCTTGACTGTAGCTGTGGATTATGGGTTCTGATGCATTCACTTTCCGTGAGAATTGAGGATGGAGAAAGTCATTTTGCATTCACGGCAATATGCGACTTCGTCAACAACTTCTTCATGTGTGATGAATGCCGCCTGCATTTCAACGACATGTGCTTGAGGTAAAAAAATAATAATAACTCACAGCTCGATTAATTGCGGTATTTGCTCAACTAAACCACATATGCATGCGTTTCATGGACAGCGTCAAAACCCCTTTCAAAAAGGCACGTGATTTCGTATTGTGGGTGTGGAGCACACACAACAAGGTCAACGAGAGACTCATGAAGGACGAAGCTTCTCTTGGTACAGGTGACCCTAAGTTCCCCAAGATCATATGGCCACCAAAAGAGCTTTGCCCATTGTGTTATCTCTCAAGTAACCAGAAAAGCATAGAGTGGGACCACGACCATGTCTACAAGTTCTTGAAGAACTACTATGGGCCTAAGCTCGTCTCCCTTTACAAGGAAAAGAGTGTCAGCGGGAGCAAGGAAGAGACCGTCGCAGCCACTGAAGACTTGACAGGGGCCACCAACGCTCTGGTTGTGCCGATTGGAGCAGCATTGGCAATAGCCATTGCCAGCTGTGCATTTGGGGCGCTTGCCTGTTACTGGAGGACACAGCAGAAGAACCGCAAGTATGATTTCCATCTAATCTATCTATTTAAATCTAGTGGTAGCTACCAACTCCTGTTTTCTTACCACTTGTGGCAATCTTTTCTTTTCAGGCCGAGGAGAAGGTGAAACTAAACTACAAGAAGCTCTTGATGTTTTCATAACTTACAGGCAACAAACACAAAGGCTCTTGTTTGGAGTTGAGATCCCAAAGTCGCTTCCTGCAGGTCCTTTCCTTGTAACTTTTGTCTCTGATTTTGAAAGATAGTCCAGATTCTTCTCTCGAATTTTGGGATACACACACAGAGAGACACTTGTGAATGTTGGGATCTTTTATAGGAATCTTTATAATGGTTTATAATTTTGTATCCGACCATATGGTTTAGTTGTTGTGTATGAATTCAAGACGAGTCTTTGTCTATCTGCATTGCATATCTGGGAAAACACTTGAGAAGAGAGCTTTCCTAATGAGATACCTTTTTTGTTTCAATCTGTTGAATCAATCCAACATTTTACATGTATAAGCCAGAAATTATTATTTACAGTGTCATTTGACTTTGTGTGTATGTCTGTGAAAGAAAAGAAGAGTGCTCATCGTACGCCTATAATGTAAGATTGAGTTTGAGGCAAGCGCCATGAATCTGTTTCTTCATCAGATGATGAATCATCAGAGTGAGAGGTGTCTAAGGTCTGAGGATGGCGGCGGCAGGTGGCGACTGCTTTGGTGACAACGTAGATGGGTAGCATGATTCCGAGTACTCTCAGAAATAACAACTGAAAACCAAAAATAACAGTTAGGGTTCGTTCATTCAAATTAGTCCCTTGAATCTGTTGTGAGATGATAATAATGCTGACCGTGAACAAAGGGAAGACATGGAGGTTTGATCCAGAGAGGACTAAGGGGAGGGTATGCCGGAGAATGAGAAGAGCCATGAACTGCAGATTACAAGCACAAACATGAGTAAAGAGACATCATCAAAGTCTTGGTTTGGTGGGAAAAGAGAGGAGGATCCGTACGATGAGAACAAGGGAACGGCAACAGATGAAGCTTGTGGTGGAAGAAAGAGGATATTGTTGATCGATGAAAGTTGAATCAGCAGGTACAACTGTGATGAAACGATGCTCCCGTTGAGAGATTCCCCAGTTTCCCCTGAAATGGAGAGGAACATGACCCAACTCTAGCAACGGAGGCGGCGCTGTATAATCCGGCTTGAATTCCTGAACAAAACATAATCAGATTTCATTCACAAGGAAAACAGAAAGAGAGAAGGAGAAGGAGGAGACCTGATGGCAAATCTCGCAGGTGGTATCACCTTTCTCGTTGCACCATCGCTGTACGCACCTCCGATGCGCAAACTGCCAAGTTCCAACAACAACAACATTGATCAAACCAATGTTCTCCTAACGAATGTTTCTAATTGTGTTTACCTTGACGCTGCCGCTGCAAGAACAAGGAGTCTCCATGTTTGAATCCAAGTCCTCGTCGTGACAAATCCTGCACTGAGCCATTGACAAATCTCCGTTACGCAGCATCTCAAGTGTTTTCTCGTCCAAGATTGTACATTCCTCAACGGGTAAATTGGCTTGCAACATCTGGTTCCTGCTCTGAATGGCAGCCTCAATAGTGGATTCTGTTATCAACCGATCCACCAGCAGCACGAAATGATCTCCCATGTTCTCTGTTTCACGGTAAAGAAAGAAACTTGCTTGCAGCTGAAGAAATCCTTGTTTATTCTTCCCCTATTAGCTGCGAAATGATAAATAATGGATTGGGGTCAGCATTTGCATTCAATGCTAAGGAGATTCCATACGCAACATATATAAACATGTGAATTAGAAGCTGCGAGCGAATTGATGAAGAAAGAGTTTGAACATTGATGAGATCAAACGACTTAAATAAGGAAAACAGTTTTGTGGATTAATTGAAAGAGCTATAATGGTATTAATGGATGGTGGTTTAGGTGAAAGCTGAACCAAACCTGGTTGGTTACCAGAACACAATAAGCTGTACAAACTATATATATTAATTTTTCTTTTCTTTTGACCAAATTAAACTGCACAAGTTTATCGAGTCGAGTTTTGCAACAAAATAAATAAATTGCCGCTACAGAAAAAGGAAAAAAAGAAAAAAAGAGAGTTAAATCTAGGAATCTGAATTTACCCGGATGAGGAAAAAATTAAACAAGTTTTGAATGAATCAAGAATACACCAAGACAAATAATGGAAAGGGAAATTGACAAACAAAAAGAAAGCGAAAACAGAGGAAGAATCGAGAGGCAGACCCAAAAGTTAGGAGAAGAGCAAAAGAGCTTTGTAGCGTTTTCTTCTGCTTTTGTCGAAAAAGAAAGAAAGAAAGAAAGAAAGAAGAAGAACAAGTGGAAAAGCGAAGAAAAAGGAGACTTAGAAGAAGAGAATCGTATTTAGTTTTTTCTGACGCTAACAAAAGCTTCCTTTCTTTCTCTCTGATTTTTCCGAATTATTCAGTCAGGTCATAAATAAAGTTATGTGTGTTTGGAGATGAAGCAAAGAGATGGAGTAATAGATTCGAGAATCTTACGGTTGTTTTTTTTTACTTCGTATACCAAAACAAAATATCATTTATCATTGGAGACGTATCCGTCCGTAGATGATATAGTACATGTGTGCATAACATATACGCATGGCCATTTCATTACTAATTAATATATATATATATATATATATATATATATATATATATATATGGTCAGAGATCAACAAACAAATAAGATGAAATTGACAACAATCAATAGTATGTTATGGATGAAAGAAAGAAAAGAGAGTAATACATACTACTAATATACAAAGCTATGAGAGTGATTCACAAAAACCACCAAATTTTGTTCGATTATTGCATGACACGGTGGAATGAGGTGTGCCATCATTTGACCGGTTGATAACTAACCACAATCAGTTTTTTGTTGATTTTTTAACGCCGAAGAAGCATTTGCCGATTTAAACTTGTGTATTTTGGTTGAGATCGAGATGTTTCAATATGGGCCAAATCCGATTTATCAATGGGCCTAATAATGGGCTTAAAACAAATAAGGGATGTGTTGTATCGACTTCCCACGCTTTTGTTGGTGTCTCTATTTCTCTTCCTCTTCCTCTTAAGGCCCGGCCCATGGCTAAAGTTGATGAAGCTAGGGTTTTAAGCATCACAGATATAAAAGAATTTAGAGGCAGTCGTTTCCAATATCTCCCTGTGGCACAGCGGTTAAGGCTCCTCATATCTCCCTTTGAAAGGTTTCAGGTTCGAGCTCGTTGCCATACAATATTTTGAGTCTCCTCCTCAACTTATTGAACTCTTGTCGTTTCGTCGTCCCTTTCCGAATTTCTGGTAAGAAAAGTAGATGTTTAGCCTGGATTAGTTTGTGTTGATGATGTTGAGTAGGAGGATGACTATAACTAGAATTTAGGAGAGAGCTTTTCTCCAAAAATAATCAGATCTCTCCGTATCTGCCATGTCTTTGAGTTTTTATTAGCTAACTTGAGAGGGGTCATGGTGTGGTGTAACCATTGTGCGAAGAATGTTCCCGGAATTCGCCCCTTCGACGGTGGTTTGTAAGTGTTTTCAATTTTAAACTTTCGGTTTCTATAGCTCCGAGGGTTATGATGATGAGCTTTGTGCTCTTTTTTTGTAGGGCATGTGATTTATGTGGGAGGATATTGGAAAACTTCAATTTTTCTGATGAAGTTACATTCGTTAAGAATGCGGCTGGACAGGTATGTATGTATACTCAAAGCTCCTCCATCAATAGGATGCAAGATTAGAGCATTTTGTTTTTGTCAAATCATCTCTTCTAAGATTGGTTGTTTGACAAGTTAGCAACTTTTTTCTTCTTTAACAACAGTCTAGTGAGTAACTTAGATATACTCGTGCCTGCCTTTCTAACTTGATCCTTACCTCCATCTTTATGAAATTATTTCTGTGCCTGCAGAGCCAAGCGTCAGGTAACATAGTGACGAGTGTTCAGAGTGGGATTCCAAGCTCACGTGTACGAAGATTTAGAATAGGTATAAGACTTTCTGTTCACTGTTGGCCTAAATAGTGCCACTGATACATGATCTAGTCTTCAGCTTTCGTTTATTATCGATTTGATCTTACCACTTGCCAGTTTGCACACATTCACTGGCTCATCTTTTAGCCTTACTCCTTATTCTTTTTTTTTTTTACATCCGGCCAAACTTGAGGCCATGTGACTCTCTGAAAAGTCATTGCGTTGTTAGACTCTTTACCTTTGTTGGCAGCTAGAGATGAGTTTAGGAATTTGAAAGATGCCTTGGGAATTGGTGATGAAAGAGATGATGTGATTGACACGGCTGCCCGATTCTTTGAAGTATGTTTAGGTTTTACATATCGTCTCAATATTAATCACTCTGTCAGGATTCTTACACCGTCTAACTTTATTTATCTTCTGAAGATGGCAACTGAACAAAACTTCACCAAAGGGCGCAGAACTGAACTTGTACAGTCTTCCTGTCTCTACTTGACTTGCAGGTTAGAATCTTAGTAATCCTACTTACATATTTCTTTCCCTCATATATCATGCTGAGTTATGTTACGAGTGATGCGTTATTTCGATTTATGTTAACCAAATACTTTCTTTACTTGTAGAGAAAAGAAAATTCCGTTTCTACTTATTGATTTTTCAAGCTACCTTCGAGTTAGCGTGTAAGTTGAGTTGTTTTTATTCCCCGTACTACTTTTCTCTTTATTTGATAGCCTAATTACCTGTTAAGTCTACTGCAGAGTCGAGTAATGCTGGTATTGGTTTCATGTCTAGTTACGAGTTAGGTTCTGTGTACTTGCAACTCTGTGAAATGTTCTACCTTGTGCAAAACGGGAACTATGAGGAGCTTGTTGATCCTTCAATCTTCATTCCTCAATTCATGAACAGTAAGTATGTCGTCTTTTGGCTCCCATTCTTTTTCTTTATCGGATTGATGCAGAACATTCTATTTTAGTCAAAATACAAAACAGTTATATCAAATTCTTGTTTCATTAAATACTTGCAGACTTATTGAAAGGTGCACACAATATAGCAAAAAATGTCTTGGATAAGGTCTTGGGTACGGCTACAAACATTATATCTAGTATGAAGAGAGATTGGATGCAGGTGTGTTTTTATTGTTAAAAGGATAGTTGCCTACATGTTCTTTGTCTTAGAGTTATTTATTGGCTTGCAGACCGGCCGGAAACCAAGTGGAATATGTGGAGCAGCAATTTACATAGCTGCACTTTCTCATGGTATCATGTGCTCTAGGGCAGATATTGTAAGAATATGATTTCAGCTTTTTAAGAGAATATTGTCATAAGATGAGATAGCAAGGATGTTTCGATTCGATGTGTTTTCTAAATATTTTTCAGGCAAAAATTGTGCATATGTGTGAAGCAACAATAACCAAAAGATTGGATGAGTTTGCTAATACCGAGGCTGCAAGTTTAACTGTGAGTTATTTCATTTGCAGGATTATGTTACAAATCGTTTCTAGTTGTAGAGTTAGTTATTCGCTAATTAGATGTTGTCAATTTTTTGCCTCATATTACTTGTTAATTGTATGTTGATTCTTTTTCAATTGTTGTACTTGCTTGTCTAGGTTGATGAGCTTGATAAAAGCGAAAATATATTGCGTGAAAAACCTTTTAGCCCAAGACCAAATTCTGACGAAGGAGTAGTGAACTGTAAGCATAAGGATTTAAAACGTTTTGGTTTCGGATTATGTAAGAGCTGTCACGATGCTGTAAGTCTCCGGACTTAGTTTTTTTAACATTTTTGTGATGCTTATGCAACTGGCGACAAATGGCTCCGAGAGTTGACAATCAGATGCTTCCAAAATTTTCCGGCAGTTCATGAAAATTTCTGGTGGAGTTGTTGGTGGGTCGGATCCTCCTGCTTTCCAGCGAGCAGAGAAAGAGAGAATGGAAAAAGCAGCTAGAGAAGAAAACGAGGGAGCAATTGGTAGCTTAAACCACCATGAACAACTATCGAAATTTTATATTTTGCTATTGTTTAGCTCTTGAGAATTTGTTTTTGTGCTGTGTCTCAGAGAAAAGTGAAGGAGAAACAGATTGGGATGCTGAAGCTCCGGATGAATCAGGCAATCTTTCTGACCTCGATGGTGATGCTGAGGTGGGCAATAATTTTGCTTCCTTGTGTTGTATCCTCTAGATTCTAAATAGAATGTTTAACCTCGAAGAGGGAACATGAAATGGAAAAAACTCTCTTCAGTCTATTTTCCTTACAACAGTTTCTCACTTTACATTTGATGGTTGGTCATAATATTTCACTGTGTCCCAGGTGGATGGCTGTTTTCTCAACGAGGACGAAAAGCTCATGACGAAGATCTCATGGGAATTAGATAACAGAGACTATCTTGAGGTGAATCTTGAAGCTGTGGCGAAATCTAGAAAGGAAAAGCGACAAAAACGTGCTGAGGAAGCAAAGAACGCGCCTCCACCAGCTACAGCCATGGAAGCAGTTCGCAGAATAGTTAAGAGAAAGGTAAAAGTATTGTATCTTTTGAAGAAGAACGTTTGGAGTTTTCTTGTGTTTCTGATTTTGAGTCTTATACAGAGACTCAGTGGAATCAACTGCGATTTTTTGGACGAGCTCTTAGATAATGTGGTAAGTTTATTATCCTCTCTTCTCGTTTCCTTAGTTGTCATCACTTTCAGGTCTATACAATTTTGTTCTTGTTTCTTCTTTCAGCCAGCGGAGAAGTCACAGAAGAAACCGAGAACCGAGACAGTTACAGAGAAGAAGAAGGAAGAGCATGAGATTGTTGAAGATGAAGAAGCAGCATACGAGATGAACACAGATGAGAAATTCTATGAAGACGAAGTGGAAGAGGAAGAGGAAGAGGATGGTTATGATTTTGGATTGTACTAATGATACTTTATATTATCTAGTTATATTTTGATTCATTTTTATTTTGCCGGACTAGTTAAACAAATTTGTGCATTAGTAGTGTAGGAGTACCCAAATTGGTGTTTACTATCTTCTAGTATGTCGATTTGCCGATTCTAGTAGTTTTAGTGCCATCGTTTTTGCCTGATGCATGTTTTTGACGATACAAAAGAAAAGATCATGATTTAAGATTGAGAATGTAGTACTGAGCCTATGAATCAACTATGATATTTTAACAGAAGAAGAAAAGCCCAACACAAGCCCAGTAGTTAAAAAAGAAAAGCATTCAAACTCAAAGGCAAGATTGATGATGATGGTGACAATGTCATGCAATCCAAAACTCCGTGAAAAGTCAGTCATATCTCCTCCTCACAGTGACATCATCCAAAACCTATCTCATATCATCTAAATCATAGAGCAGCAAACCATAATCCTCTATCTCCTAATACAAAACAGGCCAAAATCAACTAAGAAGAGGAGGTGTTGTGTTGTTTGTGCTTGATCTTAACACCAAGCTCGCCTGCAATGATAACAGTCGAAGCCATATCCAGAAACATTCCATGCTCCACTACTCCTGGAAGCCTCAGAATCGCATCACTCACAGCTCCCAAATCTCCCATATCCTCTTCCAAATGCATATCCACTATGTAATTCCCATTGTCTGTCACAAAGGGCTTACCTTTCTCTCCCACTCGGAGATTCGCTTCACACCCGTATCCTTCCAGCAGACTCCGGAGCTTCTCCGCCGTGAATTTCCAGCAAAAGGGCACTATCTCCACCGGAAGAGCAAGCTTGCTTCCACCGATGTGCTTCACCATCTTGGACTCGTCAACGATGACCACGAACTTCTTAGAAGCTCCTTCGATCATCTTCTCCCGAAGCAGAGACCCTCCTCTGCCTTTCACGAGGTTGAGATAAGGGTCGACCTCGTCGGCGCCGTCGATGGAGAGATCGATGACAGGGTGTGCGTCGAGATCAGAGAGAGGGATGCCGAGAGACAGAGCCTGCTCCTGCGTCTTCTTCGAGGTTGGTATACCAACGATGTTCTCGAGTTTGCCTTGGCGGAGAAGCTCGCCGATGCGGTCGACGGCGTGTTTGGCGGTGGAGCCGGTACCGAGGCCGAGGACCATGCCGGATTCGACGAATTCGACGGCTTTGTAAGCGGCGATGCGTTTGAGCTCGTCTTGGGTTAAAATCATGGGATGTGGCGGTGAGGCTACATCAAAGGCGGAGAAAGATTTGTCCGATGCAATGAAGAGAGGATCATACGCAAGCGCCATTTCAAAATCCCGACCGATAAAAAAAAATCGAAAATTGGACAAGACTAAGAGATGAATTTGGTGAAATTGCAGATGAAGGAACCCTCGACGGGAAAAATGAGGGGAAAGATAAGATTTGAGAAATTAGGGAAAATGAATAGAGAAGGTCGAATGAAATGTGTGTGTATATGTATAGAGATGAAGAATAGCGTGAGAAATATGCAACTTACAGAGAAGGAAGAAAGAAGAAAGAATGTGTTTGTGTGGTGGCGGAGAAAAGATAAAACAAAGTAAAGTGGAGGAGACTGAAGACGAAGAAGAACAAGATAGGGTTTGTGTTTGTGCGAGAGAACAAACGAATAAAGACAACAACACCTCTCACTTTCAAGAAACGAATCTTTCGGGTTTTATTTTTATTTCTGTCCCTTATTATTTTATCCTTATTTACATGAATTAACCGAAATTTCGTTTTTTATAAATTCCCAAAGTCAGTAATTCCCAAAATATTTTTTCATTTTTACGTAATTAAAGAATTAACGTTTTAAATTATGGAAGGAGCTATAAAAATTAGAAAGCGTGACGGCGGATATTACCGGGGTCAATATAAGAAAGAAAATTTGGGACAACGCACAACCTTGTTGGGCCCAAAAAGGAGCTACTGTAGACGCCGTTCCTTTGTCCACTCACCTCCTTAGGCCTGTCCATTCGGTTTTCGGTTCTTTCGGTTTTAAAATTTAGTATCTATTTGGATATTTTGAAATTTTGGTTCGGTTTCGGTTTGGTTCCGGTTTTCTTGGTTTTAAAATTTAGTATCCATTCGGTTATTTTGCTTATGATATTTTCGGATATTTCGGTTATTTTGAGTATTTTCAAATATTTTTGGATATTTTTCGGTTATTTTTGAGTATTTTTACTATTTTTATAGATTTTCAAGTCTTTTTGATTATTTGGTCAATAAATAACTAATTATTTTGAAAATATAATTGTATTTCGGGTATTTCGGTTACCCGAAATATTTCGGTTCAGTTACGATTATTTCGGTTATCAAATTTAGTATCCATTCGGTTATTTTCAAATTTTCGGTTCGATTCGATTCGTTTTTTTTTGCTTCGGTTTCGGTTCGGTACATTCGGTTCGGTTTAAAAGCCCAGCCCTACACCTCCCTTTAAGGGAAAACAAATCATAAAATGAAATTCTCAACAACAAAACAAAATGATGATTACATACATTTGACCAAAACATATCCTAATGTATTATTATAAACTCCATTACCTACCTTATCGAGAAACATTTTTATAACTAGAATGTATATTTGATTACTAGCATTCCATCACATCAAGAAAAAAATTACAAACCCATGTAAGCATTAATAACAAACGAGACTTAATTTACACATATCTTAAGGCTTAAGCTAATGTAAAAAAATCATCAGATAAATAATAAAAGAATATGGTGGTTTACAAAACTATATATTCACATAATGAAATATATATATATATATATATATATATATATATATATATATATTTATAAAGAATTTGTAGGCAACTAGCTACGAAAAAAAAAAGAATGAGATCAGGTCACGAGGGCTGATGTTGCGACGGCGAGAAGCCAATGGAAGAGGTCAAGAAGACGAAACGCGATCGCGGTGGAGGAAACGGGAATGCTGACGAGGAGGAAAAGCAGCGTTGCGATTGCTACGTTGGGGCGAGAGTTCATGAGGAAGCTCTGAAGAAGACCAACGGAGTCGCAGATAACAGAGTCGTAGCTGCTGTAGAAACGTTTCTCCCAATCCATCCAGTGAGAAGGAGGCTCGTAGTTACGCTCAACCATCTTCATCTCGTGGATACGTTTCCTAAGAACGATCATGTTCTCGTCCACCAATCTTCCTCCTCCGTAGTAATGGTCTTTTCCAGAAGCAGAGACGCTCATCGTCATCGTCTTCTTCTTCTGCGAAGTGGTTGTTCTTTGAGAAAGAACCAGTGGATGGAATCGGAGTGGTGAAATCGAAGCCGGCGAAGAAAGTAGTGTGGCCTCCATTGTATTGTAGATTGTGAGTTTGGAATGTTGTTGTTGGTTGGAATCAGGGGATGGAGAAGATAATGGACAGTTGGAAATGTATTTATAACCGAATTATTTGGATGATATAATATCAAACAATTTATCAAGATAAAGTATAGTTTATGATTAGCGCGTTGCCATTCGCAATTTGATTAATGAATGGTATGGAACCCACTTTCCTTTACCTCCACGTCATTTTTTCGGCGATTCTATTAAATTCTGCTTACACGTCTTATACTATTCACCATCAAATCAACCAACTTGTATATGGATATATCATTTAATTCTGCTATATCTATGGATATTCTATGTTTTATTGTAGTTTCACTCTCTGGTTTGTTTCTAGATTACGTGTTTGTATTCTAATCTTTCTGCTCCAGCTTGACAACGTTGATTTTTACTCGACATGCTTATTTTTTGACCTAGGTTTGGAACACACTTGAAAAGTTAAATTCTTTTTGTAACCGGTCGGAAAATTAATCCTATTACTTAGAGCGCAATTAATGAAGAAATGTTAATGATTAAGAAACGTGAAGTTATAATTGATGCATTATGAAAACGCCTACGGTACGTTAACTTATTGCTTGTTAGATTGGGAGACACGGTAATCGGAAAGTGTAGTGAAATTGAGAACCCTCCATTAATAATGCACATGATATGCATAATGCGTAGGCCGACGACTCTTTTTCATAATAACCATTTAAATAACTCTCAATATAATGATATACTATATCCATTCTTTATAGCGAAATTGACCTCCCATTTGTTTATGTAATTGCACCTGAAAAGCGTACAAGTCGGTGACCTTTTTAATTATGCGCTTACTTGTTTACATTTAAATTAAATTGGAAAGTTTAAGCAAATTATGGGAGATCGTTTTGTAACCTTTTTTCTAGCTAGGCATGGGAGTTAAAGGGTTAGGGGTTGGGAGTCTATAGGTTGCGTTTCTGGGAAGGAAATTTTGGGTTTCAGGTTTGCCTCGACGACAGCTCGGCGACGGGAACCGGTAACTCCGGTCAAGGTGCTCGGCGTCGAAGCGTAACCGCAAAGAAGTCTCCTTTGTTACCGCCGGAGCTATTCGTCTTTCCTTGTGTTTCCATCCACCGTAGCAGCTCAGATCTCTTTTTCCGGTCATCGACGTCGGTTTTTCTCACCGTTTTGCAGTCGTGTTTGTTTCTCGATGTAATTACTTGCTCTGCCCAGTTTGGGATTTTTATAAAATATATATTTAAAAAAAAAATATATATATATATATATATATATATATATATATATATATGGGAGAATTTATTGTATGTTTCGATACTTTTATTTGTCTTACATGTCCAAAAGTCACCATCATATACATAACATCAGCTGATCACAAAACTATAAACAAATTTATACAAAGCAGCAAGGGTTAAGACCTTAAGTTTTTATGGTTTAATTTTTTTTGGTAAACTAGAAACAAAAAGAGCCATCTGCAGGCAACGAGTCGTAAAGGTTCGAGAATGTTTGGACCGGACGCCACGTCACGGATGGTGTCTTTGACTTTTTCCCAATGGACGGCTTCTTAAATACTGTTTAAGTGTTTATTACTAGTATCTTATTTATTTAGGGAATTTAATTCGGTTATTAGTATTAGTTTACTACTAGATTTTCACCCGCGGTACACCGCGGGACTATAAATTTTTTAAAAGTTATCTATTGTTTTGTTTGATTTAAATGTACTTATATATATATATATATATATATATATTACCCCGCATTAAACCCGTTGGTCGATTTTTGATAACTAAAAATTAAAATTTTAAGTTAAATTTATTTTGTTAATATTGTTTGTTTTGTTTAGCATTAATTGTATTTTGATAGTTAATTCTACGATTTCACTAGTAGTACCGCCCCGTCCTACCATATAATCATGTCCCGTGAAATTAAACATTATTTTGTTATTGTTTTTTATAATATTTTAATTTATAAAACATATATAATTTTAGTCAATTTCAAAATTTTCTTTAAATGGCTCCCATAATATATATATTCTTAATTTTTATAGAGTTCAAATATCATTAATATAATAAAATTTTTATAAAATTTAAATATTATAAATACTTTAAACGTTCTAAGATTTCACTCGTAGTATATCGTTCCGTATTAATATCGACACAAACCTGTCACACCATATAATCCCGTCCCGTGAAATTAAACATCATGTTATTTTTCTTTTTAATAATAATTTTATTTAGAAGACATATAATTCGAGTCAATTTAAAATTTTGCTTTTAAATTGTCTCCATAGTATATATATTTATAATTTTTATAGAGCTCAAATGTTATTAATATATAAAATATTTTATAGAATTGAAATATTATAGATACTTTAAAAGTTTTATAAAATTTAAATATTTATAATATTTAAATTTCTTATAAGTTTAAAATTAATAATATTTAAAATTCTTATAAAGTTAAAATATTCATAATATTTGAAACCTTATGAAATAATAATAATCTAAAATAACATATTATTCCATAGACATAAATAGTATTTATATATTTGGTAATAATGTTTTTTTGGAGTTAATCTAATTTATAACTAAACAAATTATTTATAGCCAAAATGAGTTTGGTTTATAATAAGTAATATAGCAAAATGAGTTTGTCAAATAACGAATAGTAACCATAATTTAATTAATGTACATTAAAATAAATATATTTAAAAAATGAATTACTTAAAAAAATTGGTTTGTCAAAATTAATTAATATCTTTACGATATTATGGAAAAGATTAGTTATGGTTAAAATATTATGTTAAAAAATTTTTGGTAATTAATATCTTTGATTTAAATTTTTGAAATTAAATAATTAATGCCAGTGGCATTGCTTCGTAAATACTTTCAAACTCCAGGATTTATTTGCTAAGTGTATTCCAAAAATGTATATACAGATAATCTAAGTTTGAGTTGGGTTGGATCGGCACTTTTTTGGAAAGTCACCGCAAGCAATAGACTTTTTCTTCTCCTAAATAATCTTTACTAAATTATGAAAAATCAGTGCTAATTAAAACTTGTTTTTATATTTATTGCGGATAAAACAAGAGAATAGATCAGATAGTTGAAGAAGAAGCCTAACGAAACGAAGATGAGTCTTTCTTACATTGGGGTTAAAGGCAGAGAGAGAGAGGTGTAATAGGAGCAACTCTTTTATTCGCTCACTTTGCTACCTGCTGGAGAAATGGAGATAAATCCATTATCACCACTAAGCTCAATTAACTAACAGCAATAAAGTTAGTTATCACAAATGTGTATGTATGTATATTGATCTTTATTTCACCTTTAGTTATCTGTGTTGTTCTTAGTATTCCTTTGGATGGATTATTAGTAATTACAATTTTACAAACCTTCGAGGACAAAGGGACGGATTTCGTCAAGCTCATCTTCCGAATCCAATGTTTGACTTTGATCCTTAAGTGGCTGCTTGATATCATCATCTTCAGGTTCCTTTGCTTGATCAATCTCTGCTTCATCCAGCTGCACTCCTGGATTCTCACTTTCTCCATTGTCAACAAGAAGCTCAAGCTTTTGATACTTTGGCTTGTTTTTCTCCAGGAGAAGGTATGTGGCGCTATACCAGAACATCAGAATCCGGCTTTGAGCTGCTATCGTCTCCCTTATCCGCCTTCCTCCAAACGACAGTCGTTCTAGCGCCTGCACAAACAATGTAACCTCTGATGACCTCATCAAAGACACGGGCAATGAATGGGGTTTAACAAAAACCAGTTGTTACTTGTTCTCCAGTTTGGACGTCAAAAGTGTTCTGATGATCAAACTTGAGGCCGCTGAATTCATTGATGCAGAGTCCCTGGAAGGCCCTGAACAAAGACAAGTGGATGTTAAGAGAGTACATATATAAATAAGGTCATCATTGCTGTATAGTAATTTGGGTAAGGTGATTCACCATCTGATCAATGAAGCACGAGGAATCCAACGGAAGATAATTGGGGTGTTGTCTGCATTGACATAGTAACCTCCAAACACGATGAAAACTGTCATGAGAGATGGTCCTACAGCCATTGCAGCTTCTGTGCTTGGGACCATAGCTCCAACAGTTAGACCCATTGCAGAAGCAGCAAAAGACTCCACAGTCACTATCCCACAAAATTTTCCAAATCTGGCAAAAAAATCTATTTGTTAGGGACATAGTTGTCATGTGCATTTCTCAATGGTGTTCATTGGTTGGTCAAATACACGGAGAAAGCTCGAGAATGGCTTATCAGTGCCATGCAGGTTAGGGCGTGTGAATAACATTTAGCTTGTGGCCACAGTAATAACAAAAAGATACAAAGCTTCGGAATTACCTTGACAAAGTGGGATTAAGGCGAGCCATGGGGTATAGTACAGCACCAAACATCAAAGGAAATGCAGCTCCAATAGGAATTTCAGCTATTGTTTTGGAGAGCAGGTAAGGGCCTAAAGAATAAGACCCTTTGGACCGTTCTCTATCCACAATGGCACGCTCTTTAGGAAAGACACCAACTGTCTTTGTGAGAGCTGCCATTGCCGTGTTTATTGCAGCAACCTGAAGTATATAGATATCATTGCTTAGTATATAAACATATTCAACAACACAGAAAAAAGAGAGATGTATATAGCAAAGCAAAATGTGTTAGACCTGAAGCAAACCCATTCTGTCCTGAATTGATGTCTGAGATTTCCCCATTCTCCAGAAAACGGACCCAAATATCAGAGCAGATGCAACAGACATTCTGGCACGGACTTTGTTTGTTGGCCCATCTCGAGAAGCCTATGGAGTCATATGAAAATCAGAAAAGGTGCTCTACTAACTCTAGGTAAGATAGTATATACAATTCAAGGACCCTTCTATGATGCCTATGGAGTCGGTGAATTTTTTTTAGAAAGACTAAATGCTCAAAATAATGTCACATGACAGAAGGGGACAATTCCAAGATTCTCCCATATATCTCTTTCTTAAGAGTCTTCCTTCATTCGTAAATGTCATGCTACTTCTTAAAACCGTAAGTCGATATTTCAGGAAGTCAGAGTCTCAGAGAAGGTGTTCAAGCCCAGTATGTTATAGAAAGAGTTCTTCAGATCATGCATAGATAGGAGGATACCTGCATCCATGCACGCTTAAGCAGCAAGAAAAACTGCCTCCACCAACCATCTTTTCTCTCAACAATGGCTTTTCTGCGAGGTCTCATGCTGTTCTTTGTTTCATCTTTTATGCCGAGGGGAGTAGCATAAAGAACAGATGATGAACGCTGGGAGAACGCATCAACAAGAGCATGTACTCTCTTCTGCGAAGAGTAGACAGTTTCCGAAGAGCTATAGTCAACAGATATAAGATCAGCAAGAAACTCAGCAGGGTTTACATGCTCTGGGCAAAGGAAC